ATGTAAATATGATGTTGTCTTTTCGTGTATATTATAATTAGTTTTTTATAATAGTACTACGTATTTATGTCTCAGAATCTTAGAGAGAGTGCAATATAAAATGATGCACAATAAATATAGGAGAATGTACAATATTAACAGGAGAGAGTACAATATTAGAGATTTGGAGGAGTATAATGACATTTCATGGCATACATTTTAAAAATGTATAGTTTAGAATGATGTTTCTTTATTACAAATTAGTTTTCAACTGACTTTGGAGCCACAATTTGGTTTCAAATGAGTGGTAATGGGGTACGGGTTCGTTTTACTCCATTATAAATGACACCTGGATTTTCTATCACCATTTCAAGACCATGGAGATTTGAGACTTTATACTTTCCAATAATGTCTAGATACACATCCCTTAAGTTTTGTATATTTTACATTTTTTATACACTGATCCACTGATGTATAGACTCTTGAAAATTCTCTTCTTTTTAACATGGGAAATCCTCACTTCAGCAAATCCAGGTGTCATTTATTTATGGTGAGCACTGTATACATTCTCTCTTTGCCAGTAGTATACATCTTTGCAAGAGAGCTCCCTTGAAATGAACATCTTTGTAGCTATATCTTAAGCTTATAAACAATTTTCTATTAAAATATCTAATTATGATCAATTGTGCTTTATGGAGGCTTCAGTGGCTTCCAAAGCCAAATAGCTGTCTTGCCAGTGACTGATAATGTGGCAATCTTATCACCTTATACAGACATTTTCCTTATTAGGCAGTCACAGATGTATTTGATATTAAACTTATAAGTCATCATTATTTAATAAATAAACTAGTCAATATTATTTGTCTTATTTTGTTTTGTTTTTTATAAAAGGTTGAGTGGATTCAATCGACCTTTCCAATAAACATGACTCCTTTTGATACACCTGGGCAATATTGGTTAGATTTATAATGTCAAGCTTTGCAGGCAATGATGTCTGTAAACAAAATTGTAAGAAGTTTTTTTTAAATAAGTTCATCTTATTACTGTGTTTAACTGTAAGTATGACATATCGGGGCAACCAATCAAAATTAGAATTATGTCATGTGGAATAGGTTTAAGAATCAACATATATGTAGTGCCTAAAAAGGGAACCCTTTGTATATTAGCTAATATGCTATATATTTCTAACGATTTGACATATCTTGGAATCTGTTGTGCCTAATATTGCATGACAGTTCCGTTTCTCCCACGTTACTTAAGCCCACACACTATTAATTGACTGAGCTCTATACATTGTATGTACCAAGGGATCCTGTAGGGATTGTTGTGTTATTGTCATGATAGAGGTTATTTAATGGGAGGGATGGAATATGGATTTTATTCCGAGGGAAAATATGATATTGGCCAAGGAAAATATCATATTGACCGAGGGCGATAGCCCGAGTGTCAATATGATATTTTCTGAGGCCAATATCATATTTTCTCAAGGAATAAATCCATATTCCATCACGACCATCAATAACCTATTTATTTCATAATATTTTTTTTTCAATTTTAATGAAGTCATCAACATCCTCTGTTGCATACCTAGACATATTTGTCACAGTAATAGACCTTTGTCACAGTAATAGACGTAAACTAGATGATAATAATTTCAATAATTTCAATTTTCCAAACGATTTTTTTACTTCCTGTAGAGATGTGCTAGACGAAAAGCGTAAAACTCAAGAGAAATTACCGGGAATATTTCTGATAGGGATCTGATACGGGATTTTTGCTGATACGGGATCCAATACGGGATCTGATACGGGATTTTGGCTGATACGGGATCTGATACGGGATTTTTCAAATAACACTTTTATTCCCTGTTATTTTCCCAGGGAAAACATGTTATCATGGAATAAATTTAATTATGCACTGGTTATAATGAGATATGTAATATAATTTTTGCGCACTCTGGTAGAAAATATGGTTCAAAACTTTATTTGCCATTTCACTTGATCCCTCAATTAACATTGTGGGATAAGGATGAGGATAAGGTTTGAGGCAAAATTACCAAAAATATCAAACTGATGTTGTTATTATTGTGGCAGCCATTTTTACTAGTCTTGGGTCTTAATTTAGAACTCTCTTACTGTTGAACAAAAAGTGTAATACTTTAACAACCAAAATATATGGTTTCCCCTCACAAAATCATTTACATCCTCGTAACAAAATAAACTTCATCCTCCAACAACTGTCTACATATATTGGGACATCATTTCTAATATTGTCACTTCTGGTGGTTTTCTAGAATTCCCCAGCCTCTTTACATTTAACACAATAAACTCCTTAAGTTCTGTACTGAAGATCATGTTTCTAATGTTTTTCTTGGTAAAGATATCATGTAAGTATAGAATATGTCTGTATTGATCTCAGTCAACCTTTGCAAGATGTTGAGTGGATATCTTTCTGATATGAGGCTCCTTAGGGGTTTTCCAAGATGATGAATTGCTGAATCATGTAGACTTATTTTGGACTAGAGACATGTATACAGACTAACCTGTGTAACTGGAACACCATTTGTACTTTAAAATTGTGTTCCATTTGCGAGGTGTTCCACTTTCAGAGGTTCATTTTACATTTAGCTGTTGGGTAACTGGACTTTGATGTGTTCCACCTACAGAGGTATTCCACATTACAGTATATGGAGCATTTCATCGACAAAAAGTAAAATGGCCAAACAAACAACTTATTTATGATTAATTGGAGTGGTAGTTAATATTCCATAGTTATAAAGTGTGTATGATTTATGTTAAAATGTTCATAACATGATTATGTTTTAACACGCATAAAATGGTAGGGTTACCGACATTTTTTACTCAAAACATTTTGATTCCCCACATTTTCTCTTAAAAATTTGAAATGAATGACACCTCATATATTGTATGGTAAGCGCACTATATTGGCCCTCTTTCATAAGAAAGATTCTACAGAACAGCGTAAAACTTAGAGACTAACGATAAAGAGGATGAGTCAGTTCACTTCCAATTTAGGGATATTTTGTCAGCAGAGAGAAAATGCATCTGAATTCATTGTCCTTCTGTTCTATCCACATTACCAATTATTTGACTCAAATACTCTTTGGCTATGTCTGCTTAAATACTTTCAAGCTGCAACAGATCATCCATTAATTAATGCCCTCATTTAGAGCGTTTTCCAGAATAGGAAGGAAGCTGCAGTGAGTCCTGCTATTATGATGGTAGTAGGAAATTATCCATCAATAATTCATATGAAAGCACAACTATTAAGTTTGAATCAAAGTGAGATTTCCATTTCCTATTATCTCATATCTCATCATTTTTAATTAATGATAGATGGAACCAGAGTTCTGTTAAAAAGGCCTTAATTGACATTAGATTTAATATAGTAATTATTGATTCACTACATTGTGGTCTTTATGTAATTTTCATGATATTTATCACCAATATTTAATAAAATGGTTAATTTTTCACTTTTTGTGGATTATTTATACACATTATGATATAATACAAAATTGAAAAACAAAATATTTTGAACTTTTGGAGGGGAGTGTATCTGCTCAAAATCATTCTCGCAAAATAACATTTTTGGGTTAATTCATTAGACTACATTTAGTTCCAATTTTTGGATTTCAAGTAAAGATATTGAGTATATTGACAATATACAGTGTATCAAACACTTGATAATTATAGGATATCCTATGATTTTGAGGAATATCATTTTTATCTACAAAGTGATATTGATATCTGCACGAGAGAGCGAAGCGAATGAGTGCATATATCAATATCACCTCCTTGGTGGGGAGTCAATTTGCACCCACTTGAAAATGAGAAAATCATGACAAATTGGCATATTTTGACCAATTTTGGTCTGAATTGTGAAAATGAGAATTTTGCACCCACCTGGGACAAAATCCTAGGGAGATCAGTGAATATGATACAAGGCATATAAATATGCAAAATGTCACCACCTGCCATTTGTTACATGCGAGGATCTTGAGGTTAATAATATATTGGTAGTCCTTGCTCCTGGGATTTTAAAATATATTTATTTTGTTCACAGTAAATCAAGATTATTATCACGCTGCTTATATAAATGTATTTATAAATGTTCAGACATGAATTCATGAAATTGGGAATGGTAAGCCTGACAGTAATATGATACAAGGCATAATGTAAACATGCAAAATGTCACCACCTGCCATTTATTACATACACCAAATACCAACCACTGAACTCCAAACACCAACTGACAAACAACATTCACCAAAAAAGTTAGTGACGTAAAATTAGATATTCATGCTTCATGGAATATCCCTTTTTTGAAAGTCCTTTTCGCTGCTGATATTATCACAATGTTTGCGTGATTATGATATCTAGTGTGATCATGGGGTGTAGTAGCAGCTGGGTATTTTTTGTAACGTTATTCATGAAAAAAATGAAGTGAAAAATGACATCTAAAGAGTCAGTAAAAGTCAGATAGAGTCAATAAGTCAATATATACATCTAAGACGCATCTGACATCTATACTAAAAAAATAATATAACTTAGATCAAATAAATTGACATTGGACTGTTTTCTAACAATGTCATGCTATGACACTAATATTGTTATAATATTTTAAGTTCATGTATAAGTACCTGCAGACTATAAGACACTTACCTTGTTATAGAATAGCACATATCTGATAAGTAATCAGCACAATAGACTAAACATATATACATTTATATCTACATATATACCTGAAATCCATTCTTGAAATTTCATTTTTATTTTGAAAAATTTAATTGAATGGAGTTGATTTCCCCTTTTATACTATTTTGTACATCAGTTTTATGTATTATCATTTCTTGTTTGTAAACATCAATACTATTACATGTACTTTGTCCTGCTTTATTAGCGTTTGTAAAGTAACTACTTTTGTATTTTATTCATGGGTAAAGTCATATGACAGGTCACATGGCACATGTTCAATAGTTCAGGCTGCTTTTATGCTAAACAGTTCTGTTTACTTTTACACTTATTGTTGGACTTTCAGATGTTCTCTGTGAGATTTATGTGAATAAAGCTGAAACTACATAGTACTGCACTGTAGACATCAAGGATGCCACCAAGCATAGAAAGGGGGGATGGCATACAGTGCCCAAAATGCCACTCAAGGTAAAGAGGGACAATTAGGATTACAAAACTTTCAGAGACCTTTACATGTATGTTGAAGGCACAATTTACTGAAGTTCAACTCAAAGAAATTCATTGAGACTGTAATAGTACCTGTACACCACTGTTATTATTTAGTACATAGGCTTTTTTATTGACTTCGATTTCACTATTGAAAAATTTGTATAAACTTGAATGTAAATGTTCTTACTTGCATTCTAGGCACCTTCCCCTGAATTCACTTGTTGAAAATGGCAAGAATGTATATGCTGCTACCTGCCAGCATTGTGGCCACTTCTTTAAGTTTAGTGCTACACCTACCCCCAAATCTAGTGTTACATTTACAATCAATGGCAAGGCCTATACAGGTATGTCTATCATGTTAATTGTTTCAACTTGTAAAATGATGATGGTCATCTCAGATATGACAATGATATATTTTGAAGATAATGCCCGATAATGACACGTAACATGTAAGTGTACATGTAACTAGACATGTACAGTGTACTAATATGTAACTTGAAATGTGCTGATCAACTTAATTCCCTAAAGCACGGACCTGCAGAGGTAGATTCTTCTCTTTTTTGGGGAAAAATTTTGAATTTTTAGTGGAATTTTTTGCTTCACAATATACCTGTAGTTTAATTTATTTCTTCCTTCATTTCCAAATTTTAACTTGTTCTGAAATCTTTTGATTTTTACACCAAATTTTTCACCAAATTTCCAACAATTTTTTTAATTTTCACATTCAAATACAAAAGTGAAACTTATCATTTTTGTGATGTCATGAAAACAGTTATGGGATATTCTCTATTTCATGATTGTTTTTTTCATCCATGATGTGCTGAGTCATGCACAACAACTTTAGAATCTGATGGTTAACAATGCTGTTGAATAGGTGTATGTTTGCTTAAAGAACCAGGCTGTTCTCTAAAGATTCCCTATCTGTATATATTTTCTAGTTGGAAACACATATCCAGGCTCAATGTCTCTCAATGCTTACATCAGGGAGGTTGCTAGGCTACCAGGAACTAAAGTGATGTGTGCTGAAGGAGGATGCGGATGTTGTGTTGTCACGGTTACCCATGATGGAAAATCCTATGCAATGAACTCTGTAAGTTCTTTTGAAGTTCAGTTTTGTAAATGTTAAAAACTAAAAACATTAAGCTTATTATTAGGAGGCCCCATCGGGGGGCCTCCTATCAATTTTGTAGATATTATTATTAGGAGGCCCTCCTGAAAGGGCCTCCTATAGCTTTTGTAGCTTTTCTTTATTATTCTTTATTCTTTATTCTTTATTTATTATTCTTCCTAAGCATTTTTCTCCTACTTCCAACTAGCTTTCAACTACTTACTATATGCTCCTACTAGACCCCTGGGCTGGAATAGGGGGGAAAATATTTTTTATCTAGGTCAAGGTCAAAGGTCAAAATCTAGGTCAAATCTAAGTTTTTTTTCAAGTTTCTCAAGTTTGTCATTATACTTCATTATTTCTTGCGATGAATTAAACTGAAGCTACATTTAAGTATTCTCTACAAATTGATCACTATATGTCAGCATTAAATTTTTACCGTTTTTGAGATAGTTGACGTCAAAAAACGGTCAAAAAAGGTCATTTTTCAACTTGCTTCAATCTGACCAAATTTTTTTTTAAAAATCATCTACAAGTTCCAAGGAGTCCGAATCTGACCTCAGATTTGACCTTTGACCTTTAGTTGACCTTCAGTGACCTTCGAAAGGTCAGAAAAGTTGATTTTTCAAATTGAGTCTTTGGATTCAAATTTAAGTCAGTCTAATTACAAATAGCCCACTGAGGTCTAAAAAAGTAAAAATTTCAAGGTCAAAGGTCAAGGTCATCAAATTAGGTCACAAACTGTGCTATCTAAGTTTCTCATAGTTCAAGACTACAAATCAATATTTTTAATTGGAAGTCAAGATGTACATTCCTCTGAGGGTTCTACACATATTAGTTATTGACTATTTATTAAAATTTTGTCCCAGTTTTGAGATATAAGAGCTCAAAAACTGAAAAAGGTCAATTTTTTAAAGTTTATAAGGTCAAATTTTAACTTGCTTCAAATTCACCCAACTTTTTTTTAAAAATCATCTACAACTTCTCAGGAGTTCATATTTAACCTCAGATTTGACATTTGACCTTTAGTTGACCTTCAGTGACCTTCGAAAGGTCAGAAAAGTTGATTTTTCAAATTGAGTCTTTGGATTCAAATTTAAGTCAGTCTAATTACAAATAGCCCACTGAGGTCTAAAAAAGTAAAAATTTCAAGGTCAAAGGTCAAGGTCATCAAATTAGGTCACAAACTGTGCTATCTAAGTTTCTCATAGTTCAAGACTACAAATCAATATTTTTAATTGGAAGTCAAGATGTACATTCCTCTGAGGGTTCTACACATATTAGTCATTGACTATTTATTAAAATTTTGTCCCAGTTTTGAGATATAAGAGCTCAAAAACTGAAAAAGGTCAATTTTTTAAAGTTTATAAGGTCAAATTTTAACTTGCTTCAAATTCACCCAACTTTTTTTTAAAAATCATCTACAACTTCTCAGGAGTTCATATTTAACCTCAGATTTGACATTTGACCTTTAGTTGACCTTCAGTGACCTTCGAAAGGTCAGAAAAGTTGATTTTTCAAATTGAGTTTTTGGATTCAAATTTAGGGTAAGCCTAATCATAAAAGACCCACTGGGCTCTAAAACAGTAAAATTTTCAAGGTCAAGGGTCACGGTTATCAAATTAGGTCAAAGGTCAAAATCTAGGTCAAATCGAAATTTTTTTCAAGTTTCTCAACTTTGTCCTTATACTTCATTATTTCTTGCGATAAATTAAACTTAAACTACATTTAAGTATTTTCTACAAATTGTTCACTATATGTCAGCATTGAATTTTTACCATTTTTGAGATATTTGACGTCGAAAATGGTCAAAAAAGGTAATTTTTCAACTTGCTTCAATCTGACCAAAATTTTTTTTAAGAATCATCTACAAATTCCCAGGAGTCCGAATCTGACCTCATATTTGACCTTTGACCTTTAGTTGACCTTCAATGACCTTCGAAAGGTAAGAAAAGTTGATTTTTCAAATTGAGTCTTTGGATTCAAATTTAGGTCAGCCTGATTAAAGAAGACCTACTGAGGTCTAAAAGGGTAAAACTTTTCAAGGTCAAAGGTCAAGATCATGAAATTAGGTCACAAACTGTTTGAGACTACAAACCAATATTTTTAACCCGAAGTCGAAATATACACATCCCTCTAAGGGTTCTACACATATAAGCAATTGACTATCTAATAGAATTTTGTCCCAGTTTGAGATATAAGAGTTCAAAAATTGAAAAAAGGTCAATTATGAAATTTTTCAAGGTCAAATTTAAACTTGCTTCAAATTGACAAAATCTTTTTTTTGAAAATCATCTACAAGTTCTCAAGAGTTCACATCTGACCTCAGATTTGATATTTGTCATTTAGTTGACCTTCAAATTGTCAAAAATGCCTAAGAGGGCCTCCGTGAGATTGCTTGCAATCTTCAAAAGTCTAGTTATTATTATTCTTTATTATTTATTCTTCCTCCCTCTTTTTCTCCTACTTCCAACTACCTTTCAACTAGGTACTACATAATCCTACTAGGGACCTGGGCTGAACTTGGCGGGAAAGGAATTTTTATCTAGGTCAAGGTCAAAGGTCAAAATCTAGGTCAAATCTAAGTTTTTTTCAAGTTTCTCAAATCCTGACACTACACTTAAATATTTTTGGCTGAATTTTTGCACACAGATAGATATTAGTATTCTATTAGTCTTAGCCTTTTGCCGTCTAGAGAAATTTTGCCTAGATTTTGAGATATTGAAGGTCAAAAAAAGGTCAAAAAAGGTCTTTTTTCAACTTGCTTCAAATTTACCAATTTTTTTTTTAAAACTCATCTACAAGTTCTCAGGATTCCAAATCTGACCTTACTTTTGACCTTTGACCTTTGGTTGACCTTCAGTGACCTCCGAAAGGTCAAAAAAGTTGATTTTTCAAATCGATTTTCTGGATTCAAATTTAGGTATATTTATTCACAAAAGATCTTCTGAGGTCTAAAAAAGTAAAATTTGCAAGATCAAAGGTCAAGGTCATCAAACGAAATCACAAACTGTGTTTTCTAAGTTTCTCAAAATTGGAGACTACAAATCAATTTTTTTTACTGAAAGTCAGAATATATATTCCTCTAAAGGTTCTACACATATTAGCAATTGACTATTTATTAAAATTTTGCTCCAGTTTTGAGATATTAGAACTCAAAAACTGAAAAAAGGTCAAATTTCAAAATTTTTCAAGGTCAAATTTTAACTTGCTCTAAATTGACCAAACCTTTTTTTTAAAAGCATCTACAAGATCTCAGGAACTCAAATCTGACCTTAGTTTTGACCTATGACCTTTAGTTGACCTTCAGTGACCTTCGAAAGGTCAAAAAAGTTAATTTTTCAAATTGATTTTCTGGATTCAAATTTAGGTTTCTTCAATCAGAAAAGATATACTGAGGTCTAAAAAAGTAAAACCTGTAAGGTCAAAGGTCAAGGTCATCAAACAAGATCACAAACTGTGTTTTCTAAGTTTCTCAAAGTTTGTGACTACAAATCAATATTTTTGAATTAAAGTCAGGATATATATTCCTCTAAAGGGTTTTCACATAATAACAATTGATTATCTATTAAAATTCTGCACCAGTTTTGAGATATTGGACCTCAAAAACTGAAAAAGGTCTAATGTTGAAATTTTTCAAGGTCAAATTTCACATTGCTTCAAATTGACCAAACTTTTTTTTAAAAATCATCTACAAGATGCCTGGAGTTCATATATGTCCTTGTATTTAAGATTTGACCTTTGGCTGACCTTTAAATGTTCAAAAAAGCCTACGGGGCCTCCGTAAGATTGCTTGCAATCTTCTAGTTATTATTAGGATTAAGCTTTGCACTGACAACTCTCATAAAAATAATTATCAGTCAATTTGTTTTTGAGTGAGACATATAACCCAAAAATATATATTGCAGTGTCTATGCCTCATATATTTCATTTTCTATATCCTATATATTGCAGTGTCAAAGTCCCATATATTGCAGTGGCTATGGGGCATATGTTGCAGTGTCTTTGCCTCATATATTATGTGTCTATGCCCCATATATTGCAGTGTCTGTGCATCATATATTGCTTTGCCTATGCCTCATATATTGCATTGTCTGTGGCCCATATATCACAGTATCTATGCCCCATATATGGCATTGCCTGTCTATGTCCCATATGTGTTACTGTGTCCATGCCCTGCAGTGTCTATGCCCCATATATCACAGTGTATCTGCCCCATATATTACGTGTCTATGCTCCCTATAATACAGTGTCTATGCTCCATATGTTGCAATGTCTGTGCCCCATATATTGCAGAGTCTATGACTCATATATTGCAGTGTCTATGTCTCTATATTGCTCTATCTATGTCCCATATATTGCACTATCTGTCTATGTCTCATATTGCTGTGTCCATGCCCCATATATTGCAGTGTCTATAGCCTATGTTGCTGTATCTATGCCCCATATATCGCAGTGTCTATGCCCCATATATTTCAGTGTCTGTGTCCCATATATTCTTGTGATGGCTGGGACATTCAAACAACAGAGGGAATAGGGGGAAAGAGACAGGGCTTCCACCCCATTCAGGAGAAACTGGCTGACCTGAATGGAAGCCAGTGTGGTTACTGTAGCCCAGGAATGGTCATGAACATGTATGGGTAAGTAACTATGTATGGCTACATGTTTGGTAAAATACTTCAGCATTTTAAATTTTATGCCTAGTGTGTAAATTGCCACCAGACCCTCTGTATATAAATTGTATAATGGATGCATTAAATCATGATTGTTCTTTGTTTCTATTCTAGGTTTCTATTAACTTATATTCTAGGTCTACATTTACTCATGTTCTAAGTTTCTATTAAATCATGTTCTCTATTTCTATTAAATCAAATTCTAGGTTTCTATTTAATCATATTCTAGGTTTCTGTTAACTCATGTTCTATATTTCTTTTAATCAATGTTTGTATGTCTATTAAACATAAATTTCTATTTAATCCTGTTCAAAGTTTCTTTTGAATTATATTCTAGGTTTCTCTCTGGAAACTCGAAGCCAACTCAGCAGCAAATAGAAGATGCCTTTGATGGGAACATATGCAGGTGCACTGGTTGGTATTTTCAATTATTATACACATCATTGGAACATTGCAATCTGATTGCTTGATGGTTGTATACATGTTGTAGATACTCTACAACACTGATCATGAGATATATATTGGAGAATGTTAAAGTCCCCGTGCAATGTTTGAAAATATGTTTTTATCATTCATTTACTATTCGTCATGACTTTAAAAGTTTTTTTAGAGATTTTTTGAAAAAAATTGTTTTAAAAAGTTGTTAGCTTTTCATTTCTCAAATATTCAAATTTCCCACCATTTTTCAAAAAAGGCAAATGGGCTTGGTATCATTTGGGTTCATTGATGGTGTCCTTAGCTTACAAACGCTGTATTAGGGTCTGTTTGTCTTCTACATCAGAGTGTTGTGTCTTGCGTTTTCTGAAGACTAATGTAAAAAGATACAAATGTTTTTTTGTAGGCTTCCGACCCATTCTAGATGCAATGAAGAGCTTTGCCATTGATAATCTTCAATGCTCTGGTAGTGTGGCTGATATAGAGGTATCATATTAAATTCACTTTTTTAAAAAGTGTATATACAGGGCTAGTTACAAATGCCTAATTATACACTGAGACGGGTAAAAGCAAAAAAAAATTTTGAAATGCCAAATATAATTTGTGTCTCTGTATTTATGTATTCATCAGTCAATGTTTACACTAAATGTTATTTCAGTGCTCAACGTTTTAACAAGAGTTGGATGCTGCTTATTGTTCAGCTTCTCTATAGTACTTAGAAAATCACATTACTTATGCATGTATTAAAATAGTAATGTCTCTTGAAGGACATCAACAAGAGAATATGTAGCAAGACAGGGAATCCCTGCAGTGGAACATGTAACCCCCAAACATCTACCCCAGAAGCAATTCATCTAGTCCTAGCTGAAGCACAATGGTTCACTCCGACAACATTGTCAGATCTATATGCACTTGCAGACCAATATCAGGATAAACATGTCAAGTTTGTCTCAGGAAATTCAGGGAAAGGTGAGGGGTGTGCTCTTTGAAAATTATAGCTGTCTAAATTTGTTCATTTGCACAGATTTTGAGATTTCTACAAACTTGAAAGTATACTTATAGTAATCAATTATGTAATTTTTTGCTATTTTTGGATGATGGAAACATATTTCGTTCATTGGGATATGCTTCTCCATGATGTTACCATTCTGTACTAGTTTATTCATCATCAGTGGATTTCCATATTTGAATATATTATATCTTAATTCAAGGTGTATATAATGATGGTCCCTATGATGTTTGGATAGACACCAAAAAAGTACCAGACTTCGGCCACTTCTCTGTAAGTAGAATAATTCCTGGATTTCATATACAATAGACTTGTATATATGTATTGCATGATAAAATCCAGATTTTGTTGAAATTAATTTACACCAAAAGTAAGTGGCCTCCTGGCTCTAACATAATCACTATCTTTTTTATAGACAAATACAAACATAACTAATATAATATGAGATAACTAATATATCCATTATTCCATTATTTTAATCATGCCATTTCATTTTGTTCTCAATAATTGTTTTATACATCAATTGAAAATGAAAACTTCATTAGAAATACATGCTAAACACGATGAGCTCTCAAAATGTTGGCTGTGGAGAGAAGTCTATTTGTGCAAAGGCTGGGCACAGTTATCTGATTTTTACACTACTGCATATGCGGATGATGTTTGGCGGTTGGTGTTCAGCAGTTGCTGTTTGGAGGTCGGAGTTTGTAACAAGTGGCAGAAAGTGACATATTGCATGTTAATGCCTTGTGCAACATTACATTTGTGATACTATTTTTAATTCAAGGCAACTGCCCCAGATGTATTCTTTGGGGCGAATGTGACTCTAACTCAGATGATGGATACACTGAACCAGTTAGCCAACAGTCAGGGATTTGAGTACTGTGCAGCACTGGCCAACCATATCAGTAGGGTAGCCAACACACCAGTGAGAAATGTAAGCACAAAGCTTGTTTGGTTTGAAATTTTTTTCAGATTATGATTTAGATAATTGTCAAGGTGTGTGGCTTTTCTGTTTTTAAACTGAGTATTTCTCTGATTTTGAGTATATGTTTTGTATTATATTGTTCTTGAAAAAATAGTTAAATAGTTAAATTTATTCATATGGTTTGATTTGTAGGGGCTTTTGTCTTTTTGCAAATGTTACCCATTGTTCTTTCCAATTTATAATATCACATTGCATAAAATGAGTAGTGGGATCAAAAATATGATGAAAAACTTGCGTGATCCCTAAATGCTGATATTTCCAAATTGTTTTCCAAATATACTTAAGGTAGGCACATGTAAATTATTTTATGACTTGTACATTGTTGCAATGTGTTAAGGTGGCTACATGGGCAGGTAACCTGATGATGAAGCATGCGCACAATGAGTTTCCATCAGACATCTTCCTTATACTAGAAACTGTACAAGCCAGGCTGACTATCAGTAAGTTTTCATATACAGTCAAACCTGTCCAATACGAACACCTCTTGGACCAGTCAAAAGTGTTTGGACTAGCAGGTGTTCATATTTCAAGGTTTCAAATTTATAAACATGTAAGTCAATGGATGGAAAATAACAAAATTGGGGCCAAGAAAAAGTGTTCACATTGAGAGGTGTTTGGATTAGACAGGTGTTCATGTATACAAGTTTCACTGTACCTAGTGTCAATGTAAAATATATTATGGGATCCAAAATTATTTTAAACAGATCGTTCTGGAAATGAAGTAGTACGAGGGTTGATCAATAAGTAATGAACACATTTTTACAAAATAAACCTATGTTGCAGGAGATAGTCACGGGATCAGTGAATGCAGCCCATTGTCCTTTCTGTCATTCTGTACCCCAGACAACATGATCTTACAAAGTGTTAAGCTGCCCCAAATGCTCACCCCAGCCACAGTTAGGACATACAAGATCATGCCAAGAGCAACGGTAATATATGTTATAAGGATATTGCTTGGATAAACTACAGTTTTGACAAATTTTTCTTGGTAATTCTTAAGACTTTTATTATGTCAGCACCAGAAGTGATTGTCTCCATCTTTTTTGTGGATGGTGTTCGGTAGTTGTTGTTAGGCGGTCTCTGTCTGTAACAAATGTTGGGGGATTTCCCATGTTGTTTATACCATTTTTCAAATGCAAGCACATATATCACCTGAGAATATGGGAGGGGGGGCAAAGGGGATAAAAAGATAACCTTCAAGGAGTCTTTTCGCAGAACAAACTTTAAAAAAGAGTTCCTTGTTGCAAAATGCAATTTAAACCATTTAATGTTTTGCTACGCTGTCTTGTGTATACAAATACTGGAGAAATGTGTACAGTACTTTGACTCTTGGCTGCCAAATTCAATGTATTTTAGAATGAATCATAACAGAATTAACTTGTATTACTTCATAGAATGCCCATGCTTATGTCAATGCTGGTTTCAACTTCAAACTCGATGCTTCACAAAACTACAAAGTGACAGACACCCCATCTATTGTTTACGGAGGCATCAGCTCAACATTTGTAAGTATTAATTCAAAATCATTTTTGTTCTGCTTGCCACTGTGAGTCGTATCCAAAACATAGCAGAAAAAAATTCACCCTGCTGAAATTAATCTTATTCGTTGTAGAAAACTTTTTGCACTTGCCTTATTGTAAAATTATGAAAAATTGAATACTTTTACAAAAGTTCATCATATCACTTCCAGTTTTAGTTTTTCTTTCTCAGTTCATGTATAGTGTGTGTTGTGTCTGAGGTTGTTTTCCAAGAATCTTTTGTTTGAATTGTTCACTTACACTGTGTTTCTTTTAGGTCCATGCAACTAAAACAGAGGCATATTTAAATGGGAAAGAACTAGGAGATGCTTCAGTGCTCAAAGGTAATGTACTTCTAAATTATTCCTCTCTACCTAAAATTGATGTAGACAAAAAAGTATGAGAGGATGTTTATTTCCATATCTTGTGAAATGTTTTGATAATTAGTCATGCTCTAAAGTGCAGTCATGCAGTAGGAGTTGCAAGCAACAGGGTATTTTTCAGGTTATTTTTCGAAAACTACCTTTGGTTTCAATCATTTTCCCAGTTGTCGGAAATATGAATTAAATCCATGAATGGAATGAATGATCACAATTATGGTATTATTTTTCAGATTTGTACCTCAGAAAATTCAAAATGGCTGCTTTGCAGGAATTCGCAATTCTAAAATCTTAATTTTTCAATTTTAACCAAAGTAATGAGTATAATTGATTGGAATTCGGTAATTGATATTTTGTTCTTTGGGATTTGCTACTCCACTGAGTTGCCGTTATCTAGTTGTTTTTTATACCATTATACTATCCTTAATTTAAATACAGAAACTGCCTAGTGGAGCACCTCTGTAAGTGGAACACCTCACAAGTGGAACTGGTTTTTAAAATCCTGAGGCTCATTTACCCTATGTTAAAGAACCTCTGTTAGTTGAACACCTTGTAAGTGAAACACCAATTGTGGTCCATACAGTGTTCCACTTGTAGGTCTTTAATATACACACTGTACACTGTTTGACTTATTTTTATTTATAGGGGCTATCCAAATGTTGATGAGTGAAGTTATACCAGATGCTGATCCGGTGCTCTCTAGTGTTGCATACAGGAAGAATCTTGCCATTGGGCTCTTCTACAAGGTATTCATTCAACGTTTCATGGCCCACTTTGCATGTATGGCATTTATATTAGGGTTTGGAATCGAGAGATTTACTTGGATATGGGTTTTAAATTGATGGAAATAAAAAAATATATACTACATGTATATAGTACTTGCATCATATCCTCTTTTACTCTTAAAGTGCCAAAATACAAGATATGATCAATAAGTAATGGGAGGTTTTTTAATACATGTACATGTGTAAAAATTGTCTATTTTATATTGATCACTCCTCACATATCCTAAAGTGAAGAATGTTGAATATCCAAAGGCATTCACAAAGACTTCACCACGGATGAATGTCATAACCAGGAGACATTGCTAACCAGACATGTAATTTGTAATGGCCTTTTTGTAGTATGTGCTGTCAGCTTGTACATCCAAGGCAAGTGCATCATACAAAACGGGGGGAGATATCATACAACGCCCCCTATCCTCAGGGAGACAGTCGTATGATACAGATCAGACAGAATACCCAGTTTCTCAAGCCATACCTAAGTTGTCTGGCAAAATACAGGTAATTTCTTGGATCTACTGCAGTCTTTGCAAAGTCTGCGAAAAGTAAGTTTTGACTGTAAAGGAATATGCTTCCATATCCAAAGCGAAGTTAATTAATGGTAAAATAGGATTTCGTCGGCCTGTTGGTTTATCATGTTTTAGATATTAAGAAATATAGGGTCTTTTTAAATCCATACATAAAAATTAACTTGCAAATACAGGTAAACTATAAGGACATTAATCAGTAGTGTTAAACTTCATTTTGTCATATTAGAAATAAATATCACAATAAATATTAGATTTATTGCTTCAAACATGAAATTAAGTTATTGAGAAACTTCAGTTCTCTATATGTATGTGTATGATATAAGTTATGAAATCACTGTATAATAGCGCACTAACCCATCTTTTTCAGGCATCAGGCGAGGCGTCTTATACTGCAGACTTGAACTCTGACCTCCATGCAGAGTTTGTAATTACCTCAGTAGCCACTGGAAAACTTGGGACTGTTGATGCTTCTGCTGCCTTGGTAAGTGCCATCACATTTACCTGTTGACCAAGCAGATTGTTTTGAGGCGTATATGAAGCATTAACAGAGTGATTTTTATTCTGATTTTATTGATATTCAATTTATGCTTTTCATTCTATGACTTTCCAAAACATGGATTGTCATGAAATATGTATATTTACTGAATATGACCTGGAATGTTATAAACCTTGTTTAGAAAGTTACACTCAACTTGTGTTCACTTGTATGGAAGATAATGTAAATAAGAGAACAAAATAAGATGATAAAGTCACAGATTATTACTTTTTGGCGATTTAAGAATCTATGTGTTATTGTATTATTGTGTAGTCAATTGAAATAAATAATAATAAAAATAATTTTTGTTATTGTAGAAAATGCCTGGAGTGCATGCATTCTACCAGGCCAAGGACATACCAGGTGTGAACAATTTCATGTTTGGAGGCACAGAAGAGGTGAAGTTGAACATACAGTAAAACTTGTCTTATCTGAACACTACTGGGGCTGGCCAAAAGGGGTTGTTTTAGCAGGTGTTCATATTTCAAGGTTCTATAGTATATGAGTTAAAATAGCCATATTACCTCGTTTCAAATGGCAACATATTGAAATGGCCCGGGGGTGGAGTTGATAATTGGAGATAACAAAACTGAGGCCAAGAAAAAGTGTTCACATTGAGAGGTGTTCAGGAACACAAGTTTTATTGTATATTATGTAATTATTACTGTAGACACTTTCACATTTGATTGTTGAATCTGCAATATGAATTCAGTTGATGAATTTTGATCTGCAGTAAATAATGTACCATTTCATATAAGTTAATTTTGTCTATGAAGTATGGAAAAGGTATCTTAAAACTAGTTTTCTTAAGATGAAACCAAGTGCCAAAAACACAATTTTAAGAAAGAGGCAAAAGCCAGAAACATTCCTCATTAAAGAATCAGAATGACTTCTCCATTTGGATAGACCTTCATATTTCAAAAATATATGATTTCTGTGTTTTAGGTCTTCTGCAGTGGAGATGTAAAATATGCAGGCCAAGCAATTGGAATCATTGTAGCAGGTACATTGTTGATGAATTTATTATAATAATTATTAATATTAATCTAATCAATGCCTGTAGTTGAATATTTAAAATCAATCTACATTTACATATTGCTCTTTGTGGACTCCACCAAACAAGTATTCACCTGAAATATTTTGAAAATATATTATGAATTAACTCTAGAGTTGGGTCAGGCATGGTTCCATTGAGTTAACTGCAATTTTTGGACTTATAATGGTTCTATTGGAACTGTCAGATCACCAAGAATCCAGTTCAAAAGGGATTTTTGACACCTACCTGCGGAAATACTTTCTTTTATGTTCTGTTTTACATAAATATCAGTCTTTTGCGCAAATTTAACAGCTCTATTTTGCCTAAATAGCGAATGGAATGATCATTTCAACAATAAACAACAATTATACACTCTAGGAATGGAATGATTGACCCTACTCTAGAATAAACATAAGTTTTATGTTGGCTCAGTATGTTTCTCTTAATTTAGATATCTAATACCTACCTCTTACTCTCCAGATAATATTGGCCAAGCCAAGGCAGCTGCAGATGCTGTGTCTGTAACCTACACTGGTCAAACTACCCCTATATTAACAATGAAGGATGCTCTCTCTAAACAATCTATGTATCCTGATCAACACCAAGAGCTCAAGTTTGGAGATGCAGAGAGTATGTTGTTTAACATCATATCTATTATATCTATTATGTCAACATCATAAGTGGTGACATATTGTTATAGTTTCCAACTTTTTTGTGGATGATGTTGGCGTTTTGGTTGTCAATGTTTGTAACAAATGGCAGGTGGTGACATTTTGCATTTTGATTATTCTGAAAAAGAGTCAGAACTGATGAACTTTTTTGAACAAAATTGGCATAACCTGAAATGATGATAACAAAAACTGTTTTTAGAATTTATGAAACTTACTCTCAACTTTTCTGTATCCCTTCCAGTCCATTGAAGTCTACCTTTGGTCTCTTTGCTGGTATTGTTTCATTAATATTTAACTCTTGTTTTACCCTAAGTTAACCCTTGTTCTACTTCACTTTTGATTAGTGACTTCAACTGAATATCTAAAAGGAGTTTGGAGTTTATGTGTGCTTCCCTTGTTTGCAGGTGCAATAAAGACAGCCCCAAAGTCCATTGAAGGAGAAATCACCATGGAAACCCAGTACCACATGCATATGGAGACACAGGTCTGAAAACAATAGGTTTTGAAATGATAAATAAGTATAATGAAAAAGAGAGAAATATAGTAAACAAGCATTCAGTTAACACTCCATAGTTTAAGATGCATATACAGTGAAACCTGTAAAGTGGAACACCTCTGTTAGTGGAACACTTTTTAGAGTCTTGAGACTAACTGACCTAATGTTAAATGATACTCTATAAGTGAAACACCTAAGTAAATCAAATGCTCTTTAGAGGTAATTGTGTCCCAGTTAGACAGGTTTTACTAGACATAGAAGGTACATTGCTCACAAAGTTTCACAAGTCAAACTGCCATAATATGGATGTACATGTGTTGTATTCTTGTATAGTGCTGTGTGGCAGAACCTACAGAGGACCAAGGTCTCCATGTTTATGCCTCTACTCAATACTGCACTGGCACACAACAGGGAATATCACAGGTCCTTAACATGCCTATCAACAGGTAAAAACAACAAGACGATGTTTTAAAAATAATGATACACTTACTATTAAATTCATGAATTTATGTGATATAGTATTTGTTTTGAGGTGAAGAGATTTTACATTCGTATTCGTACTTATTCGTTGAAGTTTACCAGAGACATATAATTTAATAATTTTTATTTACCTCTCAGAGTATTCATGTATAGGTGCATGAAAATTCTAGTTGGTAGTTATACATGTATGTTCCTGAATGCTATCTTTTTGTTGCAGTATCCGTGTAGAGGTGAAGAGACTGGGGGGAGGCTATGGGGGTAAGATCACTAGGAACTTCATGGTATCTACGGCTTGTGCTTTGGCCGCTATGAAACTTAACAGGTAATTTGACTTTGATCTTAAACTCATTGAGTTGTCAACTCATAATCAAGTTAACAGTTGGATAAGAGTAGCATACCATACATTATTTTTTATCCAGTACTAGTAGTATTACATTTGCTTCATGATCCTGAGACCCCCCTCATTTCTGACCCTATAGCTTTATCTGAAGACCCCCGATTTCTAACCTGTTGGCTAATATGAACCTGTGACCCCTTTTCTGACCAATAAGCTTTGTAATCCTGTGACTCATCACCTTATCCTGTATATTATGGTGTTTTATAGGAGAGTGAAAATTCATCTTGGGCTGCACACTAACATGAAAATGGTTGGAGGTCGAGTGCCATGGCTTGCCAAATATAAGGTTGTGTATTTGTTTGTTTGTTTGTTTGTTTGCAAATATCATTCAATTATAACAGCATTGGCCTATAGCCAAGTGTCACCAACATTTATGAAATGCCTACTCTATAGTGAAAGTTGTTTAATTTAGAAATAAGCCATTTTTTTCACAAGAAATAAAATACGTTTTCGTTGGCATTTAAGGTGGGGTTTACCGAGGAGGGCTTATTGAGGGGAGTTGTTATTCAGTATTACGCAGACCTAGGGAGTGGTTCGAAATCTGTCCTTAATCCTTTCATATGGGCAGATAATGGTATGTTTGTAGCAGCCTAATGTGCACCATTCAAAGATTTGCATGACACCCCCCATGGGGTAAGGAATGGGGAGCAACCTAGTAAGTCAACCTCCCCACCCTTGAGCAATAATAGTTCGTGAAATATAGTTAAATTGCAATTACCATGCAATTCAAAAGTCCCTACTTTTGGTATGAAGTACTATATCAAAATCCCAGCCTTTGGGACAAAACTGCATGTCAGGTTCCCTCCCCATATGCGTGGTTCCATGCAAACCTTTGATATGGTATGTTACATAGCCACCTGCTACTGCATGCAGCCCAGTACAGCAAAAGTACATCACTCATGGAATTAAAATGTCTCAAGTTCAATTCTCAACTTGGCATTGAATTTGGCACACTTTAATTCTGTTTGCATATGGCTTTTTCACATTAGTATACACATTGTAATTAGTTACTTTGTTAGTCCATAGAGGGCACCATTGTCCACTACCAAAGATGGCTTTCCTAAACAGACATTATAAGTTGTAATGTAATGCTAAATGAATAACTCAAAATTCTAAAGCCTGTTAATCTTGCCGACGTGGAATTAATTTAAAAGAGTTGATACAGTTGCCATTTTGCTGTTTCGGGTAGCCATTCTTTATGTTTATAGCTCCTCATACATATGATATCCTATGCATCTTTATGTATGATAATCCAGGTTGGGTATACAGACGAAGGCCTTCTGAAAGGTGTTAAAATCCAGTACTATTGTGACCTTGGGTGCACCTCTAATGGGGGTGGGACACCCTTTGTATGGAGTGATAATGGTAGGTTTTTATGTCACCATCAAAAATGGTGGCATATTGTTATGGTCTCCAACTTTTGTGAATGGCATTTGACTTATTGTGGTCATTGATGTAACAAATGGCAGGTGGTGACATTTTTCATGTTCAAGCTTTTTAATACTTCTCACAGTCTTTTGTGTTTTGACCCATTTACAATCTGTTATGTCCTGCAACCCCCATCCATTACAAGACCAGACTGATGATCACTATTGTACCTCAACACTGAAAATAGATCATAATATAGTTCAATGATTATAGTTAAGTGGAAAAAAGTTACCTGCTATCAATGATTCTCCCTTTAATAACAATCATAGATAAGATGTGACAATCAGAAATGTAACAATCAAAGAGAATTTAATAATTAGTAAAATTATAGAGAACGATTAAGAAAGATTACAATCATTGACAATGTAACAGTCATGATCAGTAAGGCAACAGTCACAGAATGTGTAACAATCAGTAAGGTTCTGAATCCCTGCTATATTTTGTATTATTAAATCTCCAAGGCAATAAGGTGATGTATTTTGATCATTATTTCCAGCATACTACTGTCAGAATTGGCACTTTTTGTATGACTGTTTGAAGACCAATACTGCAGCCAAAACAGCATGTAGAGCACCAGGTAAGAGAATAAATGTCTACACTTTTTAAAGAAGTAATTCTTGCATTTTCTGCCATTATGAAACTGACTTCCATTTGGCCTTCCTATTGAACAATATGAAAGCTACATCTGAGATCATTGATCTTACCATTATCAAAGGATACGACTCAGGGAAGAGGGTAACATCACTTTACAACACCATGTCCAAAGATTACATGTGCCAATCATGAAAAGTAGATAAATGAATGGGAAAATGTCTCGACGTATAGGTGTATGCTGTTGACAATATTGTAAAATCAGGCAACGTTAGCACTTGTTTGCTCCATTGCCAATTGTTGTTATATTTCTGAATCTAGGATCATCGTTTCTAATTCCAGGATCCACTCCTGCCATATTTATAATGGAGTCCCTAATGGACCATGTGGCCACTGCTCTGGGCAAAGACCCTGCGGAAGTTAGGAAAGTCAATCTCTATCAGGATGGTCAGGTAGAAAATTATATCCAGATTCTGCCCTACCATTATTATATCCAGATTCTGCCCTACCATTTTCTTGAAAATTGATGCTAGATTACCGCAAAATTGTTTTACAAAATATTGTGCTGTATTGGAAACAAGAAAAAATGGCTCAAGGATGTGATAAGGAAAAGGAGTATGATATTATAATTATTAGCATTGCCTGAAAGCAGTTTCTCTGTTATGTGATTTAGCATTTCTTTATGGATGCCTATTGCATCAATGCATTAACCCTGCCCGAAAGGTAATTATTAGGTCATTATGATCCCTAGCACAAGTTCATAAGTGTATAGTAGACAAATTGAAAAGGAACATTCTGAAATACAACCAGTCACCGGGAAAAAAAGTCCCCAGTATCCCAAATAATGAGTTATTTGGAATTTTAGCTAACTCCTACAAGCACAGTAAAGCTTCAGGGTTGTCACATCAGAGACGTTGTCAGTCAAATTGAGGCTTCCTCCCAGATTGTACAACGTAAGAAGGATATAGAGACCTTTAATCAAGCCAATCGCTGGAAAAAACGCGGATTATCCCTCATACCCCTCAAGTTTACTGTTGGGCTGGCTGGCATGACTCAAGGTATATGATTGGGCAATTGATGAAAATTGATTTACAAGTAAAGATTAGTGTCTCATGTATGTATGTTTTACTTTTTTCTCTAAGTTGAATACTTAAATTTTATGTCACTATGACATGAAATATGCCTGATTTTTCCCAATATAGGCTGCCCTTGGGAGGCTCTATATTTGGGCAAAAACGAGGTGAGGTAAGGGGGCTATATCAGGGTAATCGGATATATAGGGGTTATGCACTGGGAGGTTTTGGATACAGGGAATATCCCGAGGGATATACAATATATCTTCCCGAGGGACCGAAGGGACCGAGGGAGGATGTATTGTATATCCCAAGGGATATTCCATGTATCCAAACCGACCGTGCATAACTGGTGTATCTCATACTTGAGTGGGTTTAGGGTAGATATAAGCTTTATATTGAACATTTTCGTAATATTCTTTTTGTTCAATACAATGAAATTGTAACATTTAAACTTAAAAAATTTTAATTTTAAAATTAAAACTTTTGGTATTTAAACTTTTTTAAACTTTTGAAAAATTCCCGGGAGCGGGATGGATATATTATATCTGCCCGCATTTGGCCTGGAGCGGGACATATACAATATATCCTGCCCGCTCCTCAGATACGATATATATTCCCGGGTGATATCTACCCCAAACCCACTCAAGTATGAGATACAGCCCTTTAACTTTCCCATTGACTTCCATACAAATGCTTTGCTAGGTATGTAATACAGGTATATATGGGACAAAATCCATTGTACCAATGACACCTTAAATTTAACATTTTCAATACAAATAATAAAACAATAAGTTAAGCCATTTTTTCAAGATGATTTTAAGCTGATTATTTTGTTTATGTAAGAACATATGAGATCACCCCTAATGTTTTGCTATGTTTTATTTTTATTCTCAGGTGTCCAGATCACGGTTTATGGTAATGATGGTACAATTACAATATCCCATGGTGGCATTGAGATGGGACAGGGAATCAACACTAAGGTAAGCCTGTAAAGTAAAACCGCATTACAACAAAACTTTTAAAGGGGCACAAAAGACTAGAGAGTGTAAATTTTTTTATGTATAATATTTATTTCTCCTAGAGAGTGTAAAATGGTGGGAAGCAATATCTTCAAAAACTATTCCATTGTTTTTCTTACAATTATTTTTTTATCGTCTAAATGAAGCTGAGAGTTGAGATCTCTGGACAAATACAGAAATTATTGAAGTTTTTAGATGCAGAAACATCCAAATTCATTTGAATTAGAAAATATGCATAATATGGAATGGTGAGAGCAAAAAAATATTTCAAATTTTGACAATTTTTTTCAACTTCCTGTCAACTCCTCTGAAGTCATGTTGCTCCTTTAATATTGTTTTGTTTCACATTATCTCCTGACCAACCTCTGCTACACATGTAATGCTTTATAGGCTGTTCAAACTGTCGCCTATGAGTTGAAGACATTGGGTGTGACTATGGACATCATAAATGTTGGCCCAACAGATACGCAGGGAGCAGGAGCCAATGGCCAAGTCAGCGGAGGTAGCGTCACATCTGGGGCAGTTTGTCTTGTGAGTTGGATTTATAAGTATGCGGTCATATGTAAAAAGTCTGATGGTTAATGTGTAAAAATATTATCAGACATTAATGGCCACACATCATAGACAAAAAACACACCTCAATGAATTCATGATAATTGTGTCGATTTCCTGCAAGATTAATCAACTACAAGTACAACTGAGTCCAGATTCATGTAATTTCTATACTTCTTACTTTTCTTAAACTCCACTGTTATATTTTGTTAATTTATTCATTTTATTTCAGGGTTTCGTTAATGCCTGTGCATTACTGAAGCAGCGCCTTGCCCCAGTTAGAGCCTCCCTACCGAACCCTACATGGAAACAGCTAATCGCAAAGGCGCAACAGGAAGGCATTAATCTAACTCTCCAGTACTGGTATGTGGTGAATCATTGTGTGGTATTCTTCTTAGGTTGATGGGTGGGTTGGGGAAATTTTACAAGAATTGGCACTGAAAAGTTCATGAGTTCTGACTTCATTGCGTGAAAATACCTTGAATTTTAACATCATTTGGTAATAATTCCATTAGATATGATGTCTAATTTATTAAATTCAAATATTTTGACATTTGATCATAAGATTTGTAGTGTGTTTAATTCAACTATTGTCTTGTAATTTAAGGGAGAACCCTCAGAAGCCTACCTACTATTCCTATGGAGCTACAGTATCAGAAGCAGAGCTTGACATCCTTACAGGAGAATACATCATTAAAAGAATGGACTTGCTCTATGATTGTGGACAAAGGTTTGTTAGGCAATCCATTCAATATATGTCAATATATTGATGCTCATAATTCAAATATATAATTAATTGCATAAAAGGTACATAAAATATAGAAGATAGATACAATTTGAGAGTCAAAGTTCAAAAATGAACCAAACGTTATTTGAACGACTAAAATTAGGATTGTAAGATTACTAGTAATATTGACATGATTTTGCTTCCAAAATTTTACACGCTTTCCTTTCTACTGCCCTATGTTTTTAGCTCACATGGTGAGCTTTTGCAATCACTCACTTGTCCGTCTGTCTGTCCGTACGTCCGTCCGTCTGTCCGTCCGTCTGTCCGTCCGTCTGTCCGTCCGTCTGTCCGTCCATCTGTCCGTCAACAATAGTGGCACGTTTTAAAAACTCTGTCGATAGGATTCCTGTTTTAAGTTATTTCTGTTCAACATCAATACAGAAAACCCCCCTATGACTCCTGGTTCAAAAGCTCGCCTATTTTCAAAATGGCCGTCACTTTTGTCTTGCAAAATTCACTTTTAGCCCATTTCCTAGCTAACCTCTGTCAATAGGATTCCTGTTTTAAGTTATTTCTGTTCAACATCAATACAGAAAAACCCCCTATGACTCCTGGTTCAAAAGCTCGTCTATTTTCAAAATGGCCGTCACTTTTGTCTCGCGAAATTTACTTTTGGCCCATTTCCTAGCTTTACAAATAATTTCAGGTGTCCTACATTGTAAAAATCCATGTCAATGTAAAGATTAGATATATGAAATAATTTTGTTACAAAAAATCAGCGAAAAATTGTATCCATTTTTTTATTTTCAGCCATTTTAGTTAACATTGATTTGTCTGTCTGACTCGCGAAATCCACTTTCTGTCAATAACAGTGGCACGTTTTAAAACCTCTGTCGATAGGATTCATGTTTTAAGTTATTTCTGTTCAACATCAATTCAGAAAACTCCCCTATGACTCCTGGTTCAAAAGCTCGCCTATTTTCAAACTGGCCGCCATTTTTGTCTCGCGAAATTCACTTTTGACCCATTTCCTTGCTTTACAAATAATTTCAAGTGTCCTACATTGTAAAAATCCATGTCAATGTAAAGAGAAGATGTATGAAATAATTTTGTTACGAAAAATCAGCGAAAAATTATATCCATTTATTTATTTTCAGCCATTTTAGTTAACATTGATTTGTCCATCTGTCTCGCAAAATCCACTTTTGGACCATTTACCTTAAACCCTCTGTCGATAGGATTCCCATTTTAAGTTAATTTTGTTCAACATCAATACAAAAAACTCTCCTATGACTCTTGGTTCAAAAGCTCGCCTATTTTCAAAATGGTTGCCATTCTTGTTTCGCGAAATTCACTTTTTGCCCATTTCCTAGCTTTACAAATAATTTCAGCTGTCCTGCATTGAAAAAAGCCATGTCACTGTAAAAGGTAGTTGTATGAAATAATTATCCCATCGAACGAAGTTCGGAGGGATATAGGGAACGCCTCCGTCCGTCCGTCCGTACGTACGTCCGTCCGTACGTACGTCCGTCCGTACGTCCGTCCGTCCGTACGTACGTCCGTCCGTCCGTCTGTCCGTCCGTCCGGGCAATAACTCAAATACCGTTGGCCCGATTTTGTTCATATTTTGTACACATATACCCTATGGGGGTAGAAGTTCTGCTCGAAAGCCGATTTTCAAAATGGCCACTCATTTCAAAATGGCGGCCATTTTAGTGCCGATTTTACAGTAATTTAGGTGTAATATGTAAAACTGTAATAGCTATATGTTTTAAATGTAAAAAAATTATAAAGGACATTAATAATGCTACAAATGTAGATATTAAAAAAGCACATGGCAGCCATCTTGAAAAATGGCAGCCTTTACTTGTCATTTTACGATTTTTGCTATAACTCAAAAAATAGTGGAGCGATTTTGTTCATATTTGGTTTGTGAATACTATAAGCATTGCACACTGTCTAAAGACACTTTTGGTAGAAGGCGGCCATTTTGAAAAATGGCCGCCATTTTAACATATTTTACTATAACTCGAAAAGTAGTGGAGCGATTTTGTTCATATTTGGTATGTGAATACTATAAGCATGGCACACTGTCCTATGACACTTTTGGTAGAAGGCGGCCATTTTGAAAAATGGCCGCCATTTTAATGTATTTTACTATAACTCGAAAAGTAGTGGAGTGATTTTGTTCATATTTGGTATGTGAATACTATAAGCATGGCACACTGTCTATTTCTAATGACACTTTTGGTAGACAGTGGCCATTTTGAAAAATGGCCACCATTTTAACGTATTTTACTATAACTCGAAAAGTAGTAGAGCGATTTTGTTCATATTTGATATGTGAATACTTTAAGCATGGCACATTGCCTAATAAAACTTTGGGGCGTAGTCGGCCATTTTCAAAAATGGCTACCATTTTTATGTGTGTTATTTTTTTTTTTACAAGTACTTGTGCTATTTTTCAAAAATTTTAGAGGTGGCTACTTAAAAGCATATTATTTCTTCTGATGACAACTTGGCTAGTGAGCAACCATTTTGAAAATGGTGGCCTTTCTGGTGTGTTGTTTTATGATATTTGCTATTCGTTTGTAAAAATGCCAGCCATTTCTGTTCGATGGGATTCGCTACGCTTTGGCGTTGCCGTTGTTCTGGTTTTGTTACAAAAAATCGGCAAAATATTATATCCGTTTTTTTTATTTTCAGCCATTTTAGTTAACATTGATTTGTCCATCTGTCTCGCGAAATCCTCTTTTTGACCATTTGCTTAAAACCTCTGTCGATAGGATTCCAGTTTCAAGTTATTTTTGTTCAACATCAAAACAAAAAACTCCCCTATGACTCCTGGTTCAAAAGCTTGCCTGATTTCAAAATGGTCGCCATTTTTGTCTCGCGAAATTCAATTTTGGCCCATTTCCTAGCTTTACAAATAATTTCAGGTGTCTTGCATTGCAAAAAGCCATGTCACTGTAAAGAGTAGTTGTATGAAATAATTTTGTTACAAATTATTGGCAAAAAATTATATCCGTTTTTTTTTCAGCCATTTTAATTGACTGAGAGACAGATGGCTTGAAATAATTTTGTAACAAAAAATCAGCAAAAATTTATATCCGTTTTTTTCTGTCACCATGTGAGCCCAGTACCCACGGTACTAATTTTTTAATTGTTTTTTTGCAATTCAAAACATATCAGTTGTGATTTTTTAATCATGAAGGTTAACTCTCTCTTTGTAGTATGAATCCGTCTGTTGACATTGGCCAAATAGAGGGAGCTGTGACAATGGGCCTAGGCTATTGGCTACTTGAGAAAATGCGATATAACCCACAGAGTGGGGAAAATCTGACCAGTGGAACATGGGTAATATCTACTATAATATGTGTATTAAATCTTATGTTTATTGACCTTATAGTATGCATACTGAATCTTTAAATATGTGTATTGACGCCTATATTCCAAGCTCATAGCCAGGGAGGGAGTTGGGGAGGGGGTGGGGGTTCAGGGGTTCAAGCAAACACCCCCTGGCCAAAAATTTCTTTCAAAATCATGTAGTATTTCACCATTGTCGGGCACTTCAGGTGATTTAAAACTTTGACACTCTGGTCTTTAAAACAATTTATATTATAGGACTTTTGGAATTTTTCAAAAACTGGTTCCCATTGTCAAAAGTTGCCTATGCACCAGTATTCTATATGTGCACTAAATGGTATTGATTATTGAACTATTGATTCATATTCTATATGTGCATTGTTCCAGGAGTACAAGCCACCATTTGCCAAAGATATTCCAGTTGACCTGAGAATTGATCTTCTCAAGAATGCTGCATTCCCAGCTGGTGTACTCAGCTCTAAAGGTAACTTATTTATTACCTTGAAATCCATTGGATATTAAAACAGTAGAGACTAATGAGAATTTATAGATAAACCTTAGTATACTGTTTTCCAGTTTTTATGCCATTACCAGAAGTGGTGACATTTTGTTATAGTCACCAACTTTTTGTGGACGGTGTTTGGCGGTTGGTGTTCAGCTGTTAGTGTTCAGCATTTGACATCCGTAACAAATGGCAGGTGGTTACAATTTTTACAATTTGCACGTTAATGCCTTGTTCATTTTTGAAACAACAGTACCAAATTCAAGAGTCAAATTCAATTCCCATATGTACAGTGCCATCTAGAAAGGAACTTTCAAATCTTGTAGGTTGAGGAATAAATTTTACAATATCTAATAATGGCTACTGTAATATAAATAAGAAGAGAAACTTACTACAAGGGCTAAATTGCCTCAATACCAAGTTATTTTAAAGGTAACCAGAGATTTAAAAGGGCTAATTTGCTATAGAGGCCAAACTGGTCAGTTGAGCCCAGGTTGTCCACATGTAAAGACATAGGCAGTTGTTTTAGATAGATAATTTTAGGTGTGCACACTTTAGATAAGTTAGATAATCAAGATAAGTTACAAATTACAAATGAAAGAAACATCTTACCAACAAGGAGACAAGAACAACATGCTAAGGTAATCTTTCGTTCACAGCTACGTAATAATGTAGTGTGTATTTCTAGCTGTAGCAGAGCCTCCACTTTGTATGAGCTGCTCAGTGTTGTTTGCCATCAAAAGATGTATTGAAGCTGCCCGCAGAGACCAGAATATGAGCCCCTCTGACTATTTTGCGCTGGGTATGTGTCTGTACTATAGATTTCATTTGCACTAAATAAATATTTTTGCGCTGTAATAAATATATCTGCACTTTGTGTATTAACACTATAAAATACATTTTAACTATAAACAAATCACTTTTGAGTAAATTATATTTTTAATCACACTCAGACTCATTTTCAAAATCTCAAATTATTAACAGGAAGCAATGAATAAATTGCCAGAAGACTACTCATGCCTGGGTCACATTTGCTGCGATTCATCGGCCGGCGCCTGGCTGATTGAGTACTTTGTTCAAAATTGAATACGTTTCTGAACAAAATGCTCAATCGGCCGGGCGCCGTAGTGAAAATTGGAGCAAATGTGACCAAGGCATAACTTGTATGTCTACCTGGCATCTACCTGTATATATTCTAGATTCACCTGTATGTATTTAGATTCACCTGTATGTATTTAGATTCACCTGTATGTATTTAGATTCACCTGTATGTATTTTAGATTCACCTGTATGTATTTTAGATTCACCTGTATGTATTTTAGATTCACCTGTATGTATTTAGATTCACCTACCTGTATGTATTTTAGATTCACCTGTATGTATTTTAGATTCACCTGTATGTATTTTAGATTCACCTGTGTGTATTTTAGATTCACCTGTGTGTATTTTAGATTCACCTGTATGTATTTTAGATTCACCTGTATGTATTTTAGATTCACCTGTATGTATTTAGATTCACCTACCTGTATGTATTTAGATTCACCTGTATGTATTTAGATTCACCTGTATATATTTTAGATTCACCTGTATGTATTTTAGATGCTCCAGCCACAGTTGAGATGGTGCTCACCCAGTGTTTGCCTCAACCCACAGACTACACATATGGTCAGTAAGAGATCAGCCCCTTGCCATATTATGATTACTCAGCTAATAGATATGGCTAATGTGGAAAACTGTGTTGTCATATATACAATATATCAATCAATTTTTACACAGAGGAAAATTATTGTAAAGTGAATCATTTGAAAGGGTGTTGTGCAATGTCTAATGTGGATGACTTTTATATATGAAGTAGCTAATGTGGAAAACAGTTGTGCAATGGCTAATTTAAAAGAAGCTAACAGAATGGTTCATTTGAAATCCTGTTCCACAGTGGTTAATGTGGAGATTTGTTATATGCACTGGCATTTGTTATATGCACTGGCAAATATGGACATTTGTTATATGCAATGGCTAATGTGGACGTATTGATTGGCTAATGTTGACATATGCATTGGCTAATATGGATATTTGATAAATGGGATGGCTAATCTTGGGATTTGTTATATGCAATTAGCTAATACGGACATCTGGTTTCTCATATGACTAACCAAGATACAGTCATTTTTACGCTATGTGAGATATTGACATATTTCTTCCAAAAAGTCAAATTCACAACATATGTGACTTTTCTGCAATTTATGTTATGATGCCAAAACAATGCAAAGATGAAGTTCATTTGAAGCTGTTTTTCTCATTTTTTGTCATAAAAAGGTTAAAATATGCCATAATACAGTCATACGAAAAACCTGTGTCCGATGTTTCTCGTCTTTGACTGATAAAGAAGAATTATCAAAGCTCATCAAGAATGTATGATCTTGCGCAGGTACTCATACAAGAACCTCTATATATGCATTTGCTAATTTGGAAAAATGCAGGGATTACTCAAAGGAAAGTGCAGTAAAATATATCATCTTTATTTTTCTTTATTCAATATATGATATTTAATAGCTTTAGAGATAAAATTAACGAGATGAACAATTTGTTAATTGACATGTTTTTTGAGATACAAAAATATAAAAATTCAATATAATCAATATACTGGTATTCATACTTATTTTTACTTAAAATTGCTAGCTGTCACGTGGATTAAGCAGATTACCTTATTTGACAACGATGTCACTCAGTCAATATCTTTCTTATTAACAATTATAACATTGTACAAGTTTGTGATCATAACAATGGGTTTCTCAGCAGTGGCACTGTATATGTATAGAACACAATGGAGTGAAGTTGAAAGAAATTAAAGTTGAAGCCTTGAAGGTGACGACCCTATTTTATCAAGACACATGACATCAAAAACAACAACAACAACAACAACAACTAATCAATAGGTTAATTGGAATTCCTGGAAAACATTGATTTCATTACAAGGTTGTTCCATAGATGACCCAGGACCATGAATAATAAATGACGATGAAGTTGAGACTGGTGCTGTTCTACTGTGGCACGGCGTGTGAAAAACAACAAAATCTGATATACAGTAAAACCTTTGTACAGTGAACAGAACACCCATGGAGCCACAGAAATGTGTTCATTGTAGGTGTAGGTGTTCACTACATAGAGGCAATTGTACACAAAGGTCAGTGTAGTATGTGCTGAGAAGGGGTGTTCACTACACACAGTTATTCACTAGAGAAAGGTGTTCATTGAGACAGGTTTAACTGTACATTCTTTGGAGTCAATGGAGTGCCTGGGAGTACTGTATTATTGAACATCACTTTTATTCCAAGGTTGATCAACTACGATATCACCACGACCTGAGAGGAAGTCACGCAATTTCAAAAGATTCCAAAGAGTAGAAAAAACATAGATTCGGTGGATAAACAACATATGGTTTTATAAATTCTTACATCAAAATATTTTTGGTTCATTTACCTTTCAGTAATTGTTTGTGAAAATGATTGTTTTTTAGAAATATTCAAAGCGAAAAAAGATGTCTGGAGACACACATTACACTACCACTTGAGTTTTAAGTCACTTCAAACACATATAATCCAGTGTCAGATTAAGGCACGCAAGAATAAGTCAAATAAATACAAAATATAAAAAATATAAATCAGTTTACAGTGCAGCAACCTCAAAATACAACAATTTTCAGGCTGTTCCAAAAGCAATAACAAAAATGCTTCAATACATTATCTTACATATTGTACAGCCTGGATTTCCAAGTTCTTGCCTTTCAAGGCAAACCTTTTGATGGATTGATTTGACATTTGAGAATTGATTAGTTTTGGGACATGCTGTATACATGTTCTGACCATGCCTTAATGCAGCCACTTAATTTTGGTATCTTCCACGGTAACATCTCTTGTCCAATATTGTCTGTAAGTTTGCAGTTGAACATACGTTCACTCGGTAAATTCACTGTCTTTTCATTTTCCTTCGCATCGATAAAAGTGGTACCTACCTGGTGGTGTGATCTCATTTACACTGTGCCTTGTTTCATTTCTGAATTGGGGCATTTTTGGGATTTCTGGATTTACGGGGTGTGCCAAAATCTTTTAGAGAAATTGAAACTGGATTTCCTTTATCGAAAAACAAGGAACTGTAGGAACTGTAATATGATCAAGAGAATACATTTTCCAATAAGCTATGAAAATTCATAGAAATTCGTAAATTACTAATTGGGAAATTTGACGTTTTACACGACGTTCTCTAAATGACCTCCGTCACGATCGAAGTAGAGCTGAATTCCGATCATGGAAATGGGTAATAGTGCTGAAACAAAATTCTCTCTGAATCTAAAAGAAATATTCGATGGAATTTTCAGATGTTTTTGATAATTAAATATTTCTATCAGGTGACTAAATTTCAAGAATATTCCCTCATCGCTCAGTCAGAGTTATTCTATGCTTGTCTCGTTACAATTTTTCAAACATGGAAAATAGAAAATGGGTGATGATACTAAAATAAGCCTTCTCTAAAATTGTAATTATAAAATTGTCTGTCAGATGATTAAATTTCAAGAATATTCCTTCGGAGTTATGATCATGTTTGTCTTGTTACAATTTTCGGACACCCTGTACTTTCAATATGATTCCTATAAAAGAAAACTAAGATTCATTCTGGTAAATAACTTACCTGTATAATGATTTATAGGGGTTGGTTGTTCAACTTTTTAAATGTTTTCTCCCTTGAGTTTTCTCGTTTCTATGAAACCTTGAAGTGCCAGTACATGGGTACTTTGTTTATTACCAAAACAAATGAGTAAACCAGCTGTGACTTCATTCTGGATTCATACCTGATCTTTCCCTGGTGTACACTGAGGCCCATACAAATTACATTCCTGTTTAGCAGTGCTTTATTGGCACTCTAAAACTTGTGGGCCAAACCTTTATTATGATTTTACCATCATGGATTCACACATTCAGTTGAAAGAATGCAGAGCAAATTACGTGAATAGTTTCAACAGAATTGGTATCTGGCACTCTATTTTTCATTTTGAGATTCATTTTGCAATCTCATTTTAAAATAACAAGAAAAAATTAATTTAATGATAATTCATTATTTCGAGCCTAACTTCCAATCATTAGCAACTTTAATTCCACACTCATCCACACGTTCCATCGATCCCTAGTGGAATGCTCATCAATTTAGATCAATTTACCCTGATGGGGTGTTTATTTGCTGATTAGAAGGTGAAAAATAGGGTCGGATTGTGTTCCTCGACCGCAACTATTTGTAAATTGTTTGTAGACAAAGAACGATTTTCACCAAGCAGCACTAACGCTGTGGGGGACGCAAGGTCCGTCAGATTCTTGGATTGTTTTCAAAATACCATCATAGGCCTACACCTGTTCCACTAGTATCTCTCCGTTATAACACATAAGCATTGCCGAGCAAGATAGAAGTACGTCAAAGAGTTTAAACAAATGTTGTTGTTTGTTGATACGTTTATACATGCAGTTTCACACGGGTTGACGGGTTCAATTAATTTAGTAGTAATTGAAAAAACGCGACACGAGGATATTCAAACATCCTCAACGAATAAACTCTACTCCGGACACATCCGGAAATAATAATTAGTCAGAGAAAATACGATTTTTATAACCGCCATTCAATTTATTGTTACAGTCTCCAACTTTTTGTGGGCGACGTTCGACGTCTGTAACAAATGACACTTTGCATGTTAATGCCTTGTTATTTGTTACTAAGACAATGTCCGATGGGTCTGCGTCCATTGACCTCAAATTTATGTTATTACACCGTTGTTCAGTTAAAGTCTTTCAGTAATCCCTAATAAACATCTTCAGATTTCTTGTTTTGTTTTGATTTTCAGAACATAAGAGGCTTAACTTTATCCAATCCAATAAAGATTGGGGATTGCAAAACTTATGGAGAGAACGTATATGATATAAAGTCAAAATAAAGAACGCCTCCAGGGATGAAAGGCCGGTTTTCTCAGCTACGTTCTGGTTGTCGTAATTCAATTACTTCAATTGCATATTATGACTTACAAAATCACGAATGATAAACAGAAGGCTATCATCCATCAAACACGTCACCCACGAATAATAATCTATAAAAATAACTTATTTGACTTAAAGTCAAATCCAAAGTCTGTCAACTCTGAATCTGTATTTTACAGGTTTATTTTATTTTTTATCAAATATCTTCATAATGTTGTTCTTTGTCAATCACATGTCCGCAATTTAGTTTTGAAGAACAGGAACAATTGGATTTACAGTAGCCTTGATTTATAGAGCACGTTGACCTTGATATACTCTAGGCTCATACACACCTCATACCAGGTCGGAGTTCACCACCTCGTTTTTGGCACATTGTAAACAAAAACAAACCGTAGTTTTCCAAACAATCATTAACGCAATTGAACAGAACTTCACGAGCTAGAGACATATAATTTATCTTAACACCTTTGAACATATGACATTCTTCACCGGAATGGATTGATGACGGCGAATTTAACGTGTGTGATCTTAATGAAGAAACTACCGACATAAGGTATAAAGAGTAGTACAAGTGGAACACCTCTGTAAGTAAAAGTTAAGTCAAAGTAAAGTTAAAGTAAAAGTAAGTAAAAGTGCACCCTCTGACTTTAATGACTTTATTTTAATGAATCTCTTTAAGCCGAACGCGTCCTAGTCCCAACCACTTTTTGTGGTGCCTAGGGCGTTCCACTAAACAGATTTCGCTGCTATATATGGAAATATTTAAGGATTTAAGCCCTGGACTCAGTGCATTGTTTGCTGAGTCATACCATGAAGGTGTTGTTTCCAAATTTTTAGGAAAAGTTTAGGGCACAACGCCAGAGTGGAATGAAGCAGCTCCAATGCATTGAGTCTTGGGCTTAAACTATTTTCACACATTGCAAAATATTTTCTACAAAATCATTAAAAGAACACATGTTCAATGAATTTTTTGCAAGGGTCAAGTTGGCAAGTCATCAAATTCAATGTGAAAAGTCCATTTATCACTATGACAACTGTTTTAACTAGTGACTTTGAGTGCGTTATTGATTATTTCATGCACTGCTGTCATGTGAAATACTGTGTTCGGATTGGCTGGAATCAGACACACCTCGCCTAGCCATTTGTGAATGCTAGATATTGCGAGTATTGCAACAGGCCAATCAAACATGTGGCGATTGAGTTTTGGTTGATTCTCACAATCAGCTGTTGATGTGATAACTTCAATTTAATATGAATTTAAATGTCCATAGATACCCCAGATTAAAGATATGTTCTTGGTCTTAATTGAAATACCATGTCATTTGAAGATACAAGTTAATTATCTTCAATTTTATCGATAAAGGTACACTAGAAATCAAAATAAGTCATTCTTTAGAGATGATTATTTTGGTTGTGCGGCACCTGTGATTAATTGAGGTTGATAATCCATAAACCGTATACAAAGACGTAAGTCGTTTTAATGCATACATGAAATCATGTTCTTACTGACCGTGATTTAGCACGTACTAAAGATAAACAAACAGACTTCACCGACCTTGCACTGACTTTTACTCTCATTGAGGAAACGTTTCTGTGCTACGTGACACACAGCCTATAAATGTGGTAGTTTGATTAACATTTTATTAAAGAATTTGAGGACAATCAAACAAAACTCAACGCTTCTGTCCTAGATGAGTCTTTGCATGACGTCATTAACGCGGGTACGAGGGTACGATTTGGTCACGTGATCACGGAGCCTTATTTAAAGGATTACTTTGATATCTAATCAATGTAATCATATTTCAGATGGAGCAACATTTAAGCATGTGGAATAATTACTGGGCCGCAATCTGATATTTCAAAAACAGTTGTGTACATCAATTACTCCATTATCAAGAAATACAATAGCCTCCACTACGTGATCTATAGTGACCTTGACACCACTAGCCTGACCTTGATCGGGAACCATAGGAACCAATTCAACGAAACACCAATGGTTGGAATAAAGTAGGAATCAATCGCCTGGAACGGATATATTTCATCAATGAAACACTTATTGCCTATGGTATTTTACGCCAAATTTTAAGTCGATAGATATGTGAGAGCATGAGCAAAATGATTAAATGATAAATGATGTGTTTCACATTATCCTTTTGTCTTTTCATTACTTAGCTTATATGTTCGTTATCTCGACACCAGATCTTTGAATTGTTTCAAAATAACGGCTTTGCAATGACTGAACACTTCATAGCTGCAGTGTTTGTAGGAGGAGCCATGGTGGGTACAACTATTGCAACGCTTGTGGTCTTTTTCGGGTTATCTGCCCCAAGTGGACCGTTTCGCCAGCGTGAGGAGACACCTAACATGAAGCCATTACTAACAAGTAATGATATACGGTTAGATGGCGCTGGTGTGTACTCTGCTGATTATAGTGCCCTCTATGAACGCTATTTTGCACTAGCGATGCCCAAGAACCCTGCACAAGAACGCTATATTATAAGGAAGGCGAAGTATGCTATACGCCTGATCCATTATTCTAGTGGCTCTTTCAGAGATTTGAAATACTTTGACAACCGTAATGATGGATCACGGGCGTTTATTCAACATGGCTATAGACTAGCCCACATGACAGAAGCTTTCCATCTTCATAAACCTGGAAACCGTTACTATAACAACCCAGAGGTGAAACATAAAATTATTCTTGGGTTTGAATACATAATAGACAAAGCGCCCTCAAATAGAGATTGGAACTGGTGGGGTCGGCAAATAGGGACGCCAAAATCATTATGGGAGGCGTTTCTCCTTGCTAGTACATTCCTAGAGAGAGATCTTCTACTGAGGGGCTTGAGGAGATACTGGATATCGACTAAAGTAAGTAGCGGAAAGTTTCAGTTATAAAGATCAGACGAGCTTGGTGTGGGTGTTGGCTGTGGGGGTAAATGCCCATACAGGGTTAGATTACATAACACGTTTTAATGAAACGTAGACGTACATGTCAGGAAATTACTTATTATTACACATCGCGAGAGTATACTGGACTGATCCTTTTCCTCGGACGGTTTACTTTGTGAGTCTTTCATATAATATCATTATATTAATTGGGGTATAAGTTAGAATCTCATTTCCATGGTAACTGTTAATTTATTTTATTTACAATTTTCAGAAGATAATAACTTTATTATTATCTGTTTTAGGGAATATTTGTTTATTGTACGATTGTTATGAGATTGGTGACAAATGAAAGCTGACTAAATCCTAAATGGGATTAGATGTAATATATGCAAATTAGCTAATTTGAATATAAGACGACGACGCCATAACTCTCTACTACTTTGATATGAATGGCTAATAACTCTTTTTGTAAATAATTGGAAGGTACCAGTTATCTACGACTATTTATATCGTTAACAATTTAAAACGAAATATTGAAAACCTTTTGTTTTTAAAATCTTTAAAATTCCGATGAAAGTACCGTGGGAAAAATTACCATTTTAAAATACACTGGGCCTTTGAAACCCATCCTCCTAAGCAGGTGTCCAGAATCCGTACCTCCTTCTTCCCCCTGCTATAAGCAGTTAGCATTTTCCCGATTAAGAACTCGCACTTTGATTGGCTGTCGCAACACTGCGACAGAAATCATCTATACGTCATCGGCGCATAATAAGATCACGTGATTTAGTTTAATCGGGCGCGTCCAATTTGGTTATAGCAGGGGGTAAAAAGAAAGAAGATATTCTGGATTTTGAAGCCCTGTGATCGGAGGATGTTGAAACCGAGCTCTGTTTTGTAGCTTTCCAACGGTACCAAGGTAAGATTACCGGTATCTGCAGTGTGTATATTAAAAAGTACTTTCCAGTGGCACCTTTCTGTCACCGCCAAGTGGTGTTTATGTAGGGCTGCTTTTTGTGACCGGCTGTTGGCGTCGGTGTCTTTAAACATGTTTACACTTTTGTAAAATTCTGCAGATGATGATATTTAATTTTTTAACGTTTTGCAGGTATGGGATCCAAACAATAGGAGTGGTAGCATGGCAGGGTCAAATCTAGCCAACCGTGGCTTCCTTACCCTCGTTCAGACTTACTTAGAGGGTGAGGCACAGTTCAACGCAAGATACGCTGACGTCATGGAAATGATATATCACGAACTTATTGATAAGGAACCGTATGACGGTGAGCTATTAAATTGTGTGTCTCTCATTTTATGGGATGCAAACATATCTGATGTCACTAAATGCAATTTGTGAAAAACGACAAATTATTGAATAGCTACACGTTTTAGTAAAGTATTTTAGCAAATGTTGACCAATGCCCATATGAACTTTTTTCGATTTCTTGTTTCTAGGGAACGGGATTTCCCATGACAACTGTATGCATCAACACAACATCCCGGCAGGGAACAGGGGCCCGTATATTAACACCCACATTCGGAGATTGGTTTACAACGGGCAGTACGGTGGTGACTACATGAAACACATCGCTCAGTTAATATTACTTTTTAAAAACATTACAGCTTATGAATTTTCCGAAATTTCCGTTCGGGAATTTACCAAAGCGTTCCTGGATTGCCACGTTCTTTTCCTGCGAGGCCGTACCTTCGAGCCATCAGTTTGCGGGCGTAGCATAACTGGTAATGCCAGAGTCACTTACTGGACGGCATTTAGTTCAGTGTACCAAGTTGCTTCTGTGCTTCTTCCAGTTGGACATAGGGTTAGTGAAATACAAGACGTAATAGATCGTTACCATAACAAGGGACCAAGCCCAAAGAACGCCTTGATAAAGAACCGCTCATTATTTGCATCTGATATGATGGCCCATCAGAGACTGACATTCATGGCATCTGTACGTATGTTCTCGTCAAGGACGACGAGGCCCGAGACGTGGATAGGACGCCGAACGATGAATGAGAATGGTTACTATTTGGGTGACGGGATGACCACAATTATGAAAGATGGCGACGAGCTGGGTGTCAGGGGCAATGAGCTATTTCAACATTATGACTGGGCAAAAATACCAGGTATTTATTGTTGCGTTCCTATGTCAATTGTAACGAGTAAGTTACGTCTGCTTCATATCACGAGGCGTGGTCTGTTCATGCCGTTACTATCACAAATGGTGGAGCTGCCGTAGCGGGCAAACATTCTCGGTGCTGAAATGTATTTACCGTTCGATGCGGTCAGTTCTAAATGACTACCTCCAGTCACACAGTCATGCATACAGTTTGTTATACCTTAGTTAGCTGTAAGAAAATGTAGGACTTATGCTTATTAACTAATATCTTTCAGGTGCAACCATAGAGTACACAAAACAAGTGCCACAAGAAGGTATGGAGAATGATCCAACTAATTTCCCACATCATATCAGTGAGGCAGACTTTGTTGGTAGTACATCTGATGGTGTGTATGGCGTCGCTGCGATGATCTACGACCGTCCAACAGTTAACATAACTCTAAAGAAGTCTTGGTTTTTCTTCGATGATGAGCTAATTTGTTTAGGCTCAAATATTGAGACTAGAGAGGGAATAAACGACACTCAACCGGTTCTAACCACTTTAAACCAGATAATCCAAGATGGTGCCATTACTGCCTATGATGAAACCAAAGGACTTGTAGAAATTCAAAATGGTGAAGTATATTTGCCAAATCCAGCATGGGTACATCATGACAATACGGGTTACATATTTCTTAACAATGTAACAAATGTTTACATGCAAGGTGAAAATCGAAGTAAGACAGATGTTGATAGAAACAAGGTGATTTCAAACCAGGTGTTTTCAACTTGGATTGATCATGGAAGAGCGCCACAAAACCTTCAATATGCTTATTCCGTCCGTCCAAATATCACAGTTGGTGAAATAGATGCGTATATAAAGTCAAACCCCATCAGGAGGGTGCATCAAAATTCAAACATTCACGCAGTGTTCCATACAAAACTCAATATAACTGGACTTGTTTTCTTTACTCCGGGGAATGTTTCAACTCCTAATGGATATGTGGTATCAGCTGATAATCCCTCAATTGTTATGATTCGAGAAACAAAAAATAACATGTTCATTACTTGTTCTAATCCTGAAAACAAAGGCATAGTTTTAAAAATAAAGTTGAGTAAAAATGTTCGGGGTCCTGGTGCTAGATTTTTGGGGGAATCGGGAATGACCGAGGTCACGTTTGACTTACCTTCCGGTCGGCTTGCTGGCTCAAGCATAACCAAGTCATTGACGTGGCAATTCTCAAATCACATTCCAAAGTATATGTCAGAAGATCGCTTTTTCAAGAGCAAGTCTACTTGAAATCAACTTTTGGTATAGATATATTTACTTCCTGGATATTTTAATAAAGTAAGAAACAAATATTTGTGTATGTTGCTTTTTGTGCAGATTATTTCCAAGACTTTGGTTTTTGACACTGAAGAACACGCTGGAGAAGTCCATGTACGACAAAAGCAGCATTTTCTTGACTGTTGATCAGATATTCGTATCTTGGAAACGTTTTGTCACGATGATAACACGTATATGGAACAAAAAAACCACCCCATCCCTACTGTGTCGCTGCATGTTGTTATTTGTTGAAAAACTAGTACAAAAAGGTGACATATGCGCCATATTAAGGTACAGATGGAAAGAAACATTTTGGTAAAAAATTGCTATACCAGCACATGTTATTTTCTGGTACAAAATAAAGTATGAAGACATCATTGTGTCAATTGCCTTGCTTTTTTCAGGAAAGTATCATTACATTGTCTTCTTTAAGAATATCTAGTAGGAGTTCAATGGGAACTCCAGGAAATTCTGATATTTCACACTTTCTATTTTTCCAAATTTTCTTTCAAAGTTTCCAGACAACACAGAAGCTACCATTGACCTGTTTCCAGGTTTACTAAAAGTAGACAGTGTAATGATACTTTCCAGAAAAAAGCAAGGAAATACACACATGCCTTCATACTTAATTTTGTACCAGAAAATAACATGTGCAGGTATAGCAATTTTTTACCAAAATGTTACTTAAATATTAAAAATGCAGGTTATTAATCAAGAGGGATAGGATGTCTTTATTCCGAGTGACAATATGATTTTGACTGAGGGTTAATATGGTATTGAACGAGGTAGGTAGTGCCGCAGCGTGTCAGTGTGATATTATTTTCTAAGGAAAGTAATAATGGAATAAAAATCGCATTGAATCGACTGAAAAATTATGCTGAGTATTTATAGTATTAGAGCAAATTGACTGGATCGGATCTTATTGGCTTTGTTTTTTGGGGGAATTGTGATAGTCAATGAATTAGCATTTCATTTTATCTTTGTTTTTTAGCTAAAACGTATTTGCAACCACTTCTCGTTTTATTTTAATTGAAATGCTACGCATATAAATCTGGTGAATGCGTTGGGCTGAAAACGTTGAGCAAAGAAAATCTACATGAGGTTCATAACCCATTTACTAGTTGACACCAACCGCCCGCGTGTTTTGTGACAATAGAGTACTAGTAATGATAAAAACCATGGGGTTTCAAGAGACACTGTGAAGAAATGTAATGAGCAATTTATTAAATGATAAAAACAAGTGCGAATACTGATTTTCTTTCTATTATTGTAATTGTTTCACCTTAATTCACCTTAATTGAGTTGCAACGATATTTTGTCACAATGCCCTCGATCTCTTCGATTCTTCGATTGCTTCAAACTAAACATATAAATGGCCGAGTTCTTCATAACCGGGGCATTTACGTAGTTGGAGGAACCTGATGAACCTGAAGAAGCCATGGTGGGCACAACTAGTGCAGCGCTTATGGTCTTCTCTCTCTTGGGATCGTCTGCATCGAAAGAACTGCTTCCCCAAAGTAGTGAATCAGGACCAGAGGCTTCAACTGTGAAGTCAACAACAGTGAATGATACATCGCTAGATGGCGCTGATGATCACTCTGCTGATTATAGCGCACTCTATGAGCGCTATTTCACACTAGCGATGCCTAAGAACCGTGCAGAAAACCGCTATGTTATAAGGAAGGCTAGAGCGGCTGGACATCTTATCCATAACTCCAAAGGATATTTTACAGATTTGAAATATTTTGACAATCAGAATGATGGATCGCGAGCCTTCATTCAACACGGCTATAGACTAACCCATATGACAGAAGCGTTCCACCTAAATAAACCCGAAAACCGTTACTATAACAACCCCAACATGAAACGTAAAATTATTCTTGGGTTTGAATACATAATAGACAAAGCTCCCTCAAATAGAGATTGGAACTGGTGGGGTCGGCAAATAGGGGCGCCAAAATCATTGTGGGAGGCGTTTCTCCTTGCTAGTACATTCCTAGAGAGAGATCTTCTATTGAGGGGCTTGAGGAGATACTGGATCGAGACTAAGGTAAGCAGCGAAAAGATAAGACCACAATAGTTCTTATTCTGTTTTACTAAGGACCCTCTCTTGCTTACCTTTCTCAGTAAAAGTTTATAGGATCGGATGAAACAGGAACGGGGTTTAACTCGATTGATTCTTGCATGAGAATTGTGTAATAATTTTACTGCTTGGGAGTGCTTTCTGACTTTACATTTTCACGGTATTTTGTATATCAGGTGTGGGATTCAAACAACAGAAGTGGTAAGATGGCAGGGTCAAATCTAGCCAACCGTGGCTTCCTTACTCTCGTTCAGACTTATTTAGAGGGCGAGACACAGTTCAATGCAAGATACGCTGACGTTATGAAGATGGTATACCAAGAGCTCGTTGATAAGGAACCATATGATGGTAAGCGTCTTCTCAAAATTATTAGAACAAATAAATTTAACTTTTGTTAGATTTATCAAAACTTTTTATTAAATTCAATTTTATTTTAGAAATTAGCGTACATTAGACGGTAATCCTTTTTTGAGCAAGTGTCGAATTCTCTCAACGAAAAGCAAAAACTCTTTATTTTGATTAGTCTTATCCAAAGGCGTTCGATGCAGTTAACCATAGTATTCTCCTGTCTGATTATTTTGATTTTCGCTTTGTTGTGAATAATTGGTTGTCCTTTTCAATTAGACGTAATTATCTTAAATAATAAAAATATGATTACCAATGATAATTTACTGGTATTGTTAGAATTACTGCAACAATAATGTTTGGGGGACATCTCGAGTCATTCCACCAACTTATTCTTGCTAATCCTTCAATTAGTTTTGCATCACTGGTGTTGGAATTTGTTTGTACTGGGGAATACTAAATATAAAGTGATTTTATTACAAGGTTTGATCTACTGAGACAATTTTTCACCTGCTATAGTGTATTAATGATTTTTGGTTTCTAGGCAACGGGATTTCCCCTGACAACTGTATGCACCAACACAACATACCCGCAGGCAACAGGGGTCTACATGTCAATTCCCACCTCCGGAAGCTGATCTACAACGGGCAGTATGGGGGCGATTACATGAAACACACGGCAGAATTAATCTTACTCTTTAAAAACATTACAACATACGAATTCTCCGAGATTTCCGTTCAGGAATTTACCAAAGCGTTCCTGGATTGCCACGTTCTTTTCCTGCGAGGCCGTACCTTCGAGCCATCAGTTTGCGGGCGTAGCATAACTGGTAATGCCAGGGTCACATATTGGACGGCATTTAATTCAGTTCACAGAGTAGCCACAATGCTTCTCCCAGTTGGACATAGGGTTAGTGAAATACAAGACGTGTTAGATCGTTACCATAACAAGGGACCAAGCTCAAAGAACGCCTTGATAAAAAACCGCTCACTATTTGCGTCTGATATGATGGCACATCAAAGACTGGCATTCATGGCTTCCGTACGAATGCATTCATCGAGGACGACAAGGCCTGAGACGTGGATAGGACGCCGAACGATGAATGAGAATGGTTACTATTTGGGTGACGGGATGACCACAATAATGAAAGATGGCGACGAGCTTGGTATCAGGGGCAATGAGCTATTTCAACATTATGACTGGGCAAAAATTCCAGGTATTTAATCTTTTGTTACTGTTTCAATCACATACAAACACTAGGCCAATTCACTTGTTGATAGGAAAGTTGGTATAGGCTATAGTCCGCATTACATGTATGAAAATCGTAATCAAAGGCTGCTTTTTAAACTTGGTGGAGCTGCCGTGTTTCGGCTATTATAACCTTCAATGACTTTTCGATAATACATGAATATCGATATTAAGATTGGTGAAATAATCTCAAGCTCCCATGAGGAACAGTTTGTCTAAAAACACTAAGTATCCTAAATGCCCCAAATACATTAAATGTAAGATATACAATTACATAAACAAATAATATTTGTATTTCAGGTGCCACCATAGAGTATGCGAAGCAAGTTCCACGAGCAGGTATGGAGTACGATCCAACTAATTTTCCTCACCATATCAGTAAGGCAGACTTTGTTGGTAGTACATCTGATGGTGTGTATGGCGTCGCTGCGATGATCTACGACCGTCCAACAGTTAACATAACTCTAAAGAAGTCTTGGTTTTTCTTCGATGATGAGCTAATTTGTTTAGGCTCAAATATTGAGACTAGAGAGGGAATAAACGACACTCAACCGGTTCTAACCACTTTAAACCAGATAATCCAAGATGGTGCCATAACTGCCTATGATGAAACGAAAGGACTTGTAGAAATTCAAAATGGTGAAGTGTATTTGCCGAATCCAACATGGGTACATCATGACAATACGGGTTACATATTTTTGAGCAATGTAACAAATGTTTACATGCAAGGTGAGAATCGGAGTAATACTGATATTGATGGAAACAAGGTGATTTCAAACCAGGTGTTTTCAACTTGGATTGATCATGGAAGAGCGCCACAAAACCTTCAATATGCTTATTCCGTCCGTCCAAACATCACAGTTGGTGAGATAGATGCGTATATAAATTCAAGCCCCGTCAGGAGGGTGCAACAAAATTCAAACATTCACGCAGTGTTCCATACAAAACTCAATATAACTGGACTTGTTTTCTTTACTCCGGGGAATGTTTCAACTCCTAATGGATATGTGGTATCAGCTGATAATCCCTCAATTGTTATGATTCGAGAATCAAAAAATAACATGTTCATTACTTGTTCTAATCCTGAAAACAAAGGCATTGTTTTAAAAATAAAGTTGAGTAAAAATGTTCGGGGTCCTGGTGCTAGATTCTTTGTAGAATCAGGAATGACTGACGTCACTTTTAATTTGCCCTCAGGTCGACTTGCTGGCTCAAGCATAACCAAGTTATTAAAGTGGCAATGACTGTGACTCAAAACATGTACAGGGTGATACAAAAAATGCCATCCACCCAAATTACGATGCGTAACTTTTTTCTGTATGAAATCTGACTTGTTATTTGACCTATTAAAACTCCATGGAGCAACTTCACAATGGGTTTCAGATGACTAGCTCACCCAGATGCCCTTTTATAAGATGTGCTCTTTTGCAGGCTCACAAAAAAATACCACCCACCTTTTGTAACATTACTTTGGTGATTTATTTGATAATGACAACCTTATCATCTCCAGCTGGGCAGCCAAACCCAGAAATCAATTGTCGCGGTGATTCGGCATTAACCTGAAAACTACGCGAAAATCGTGCTTTTCTACAGAATATAGTCATGTTCCATTGAATGAACTTAATCTACAAAGTTATGTTACAAAGGGATGGTGGTATTTATTTGAGTAGAATTCCATGTGTGCCTTCAAAAGAATGGACGACATTTAGAGTTCATCTTGTAACGCTAATAAAAGTCCAACTAGTTGATCTAGTCCTCTGAATCTTCTTGTGCAGTGGCTCCATGGAGTTCCAATAGGCCAAAGAACAAGTCAGATTTCATAAAGAAATAAAAAGTAACGCAACTAGTTTCAATGTGATAAAGAACGACAAGTCAATATAAATGCAGACAAAAAGTTTATGTAACATTATTTGGGTGGAATTTTTGTGTCACCCTGTAGTTGAAAATCCCTGCTCAAATGTATATTTATCCAGCCCAAGGATGCAAAATTATATTTTGATATCATAAATCCGAGTCTCTCAAATTATTCAAGATAATAAATTTTAAATAGATTAGTTCGTTTTCTTTTGTGCACTTTATTCAAGCTTTATCCCCTGGACTTTATACCAACTGGCCAGTATCAAGAGAAGTAAACGACAGTTACCTAAGCTTAGTATCTTGTCATATAAATGGTTAAGTACGGTAGATGTCGATTTCAGTTTAGTTTCCATCGATTATCAACAAGATAGATAGAACCCACTATAAGAGTGAACAGTGAACGCCTCCATTCAACTATATCTTCTGTCGCATAGGGCACGGTAATGTGTTCACCACACCCTAAGAGGTAGAAAATATCGAAATTAAAACTCATATGTCCACGGCAAGGTCGTTTAAATTCGATGAACTTGAACTCAAAATATCGACACATGCGGTCCAGCAGAGGAAGTAATGACCGTTACCTCTTCCTGATACTGACAGTGACATCCTTGGTCCAAGGGTATTTCAATTCTCTCCAGAGCTGAGATAGAAGTGAACCCCGAACTTGAAGAATGACCAGTAATACCCTACACATTTCTGATCTGAATACCCATTTCCCTATGGCCGCAGAATATGAAATAGATGGACTTATTCCCTGAAAGATTCAAAATCTCTGTTAAAGTGGAGGAAAAATTAATCACTAATGGCCATGTGACTAGTCAATAGTACTTTTTGTATCAAGATTTTAAAAAATTCATGTACCAAACCTATTCGTATCACTTAATGTGCATTTAGCACATTATACCTTTTGATTCCACCCAGAATCAACTATTACGATTATATTAAAGCCCAAACCCACATCATCGTAACACAATCTGACTTAACCCACTCAACCCAACCAAAAGTGTAACCAGGCACAACCTAGCGAACCACACGGCCCAGTGTAACACACTCAATTGTCAAATTAGCAAAACACAATAGGGCAAAGCTCATAACCACAAACACAAGCCATAACACAATCAGGCACAACCAAATTATAAACAAACCAAACACAACCCATTAATACAACGCAACTGAGCACAACCTGTCACCCGACCAGCATAACACAATCATAACAACACGATCACAACTTTACACAACCCATTCATCAAATTAATACATGTATAGGCCTAATGAAGTTCACATTTGACAAATTTGGCCCAAATATGGCTAAAATCACCTGAGAAGTGCTCAAAATGGTGAAAAACTGCATGATTTTGAAAGAATGTTTGGCATTTTGAAAGAATGTTTGGCCAGGGGGGGGGGGGGGGTTCGCCCGAACTTTGCGACCCCCCCCCCCCCTGGCTACGGGCCTGCCTAGTGAGTGATGGTTCATGTATGCTTTGAGACAATGTACCAGAGTTGCGTGTTTTACACACGATCGTCTATTTTGAATAGACTTATCTCTTGATTTCAAGGCCCATGGGCGTTCTTTTATATATCGAACTTTTTAGAGAACTTTCAGGATTTTTTTGGACGTAGACCTACAAGAGAGAAACTCCGGCAATTCAAGCCCGCACTGTAGTCAGGATTTAGCTGCGGGAGCGGTTTTACCAAGGGGAGCTTTTTGACAGTTTTGGCAAAACTTCATGCGAGTGCTCAGAGCTTCACAGACGTCCTTGGTCTATAATAGGGGTGGCTGACTGACCGTGGCAGTTTTGAATGATATTTGCTTAGGATGAAGAAATACTTCATTGCTATAGCAACCCGGATATCTATGCCCCATTACCCCCATAATTTAGTGGGGTTATTTTGAGTCTTTTTGATATTTAGGACATTTGTTTCTCAAAATGTCCTAAATGTAAAAAAAAACTCAAAATAACCCCACATTTTTTTTTTTGGGGGGGGGGTTTGATAGGGATATTGTATATGCATTTCCAAGACCCTCTATACACCCGCCCCCCATTTATGGGTGTTTGCCCCATCCCTGGGCCCCATCGTCCCTACCAGACCCTCAACCGCTACAAATTACAGCCTTTGAATATGCCAAGATTGATCTATGGGTGTACAATCCAGGCCAGAGGCCGTAGCCAGAGGGGGAGCTGGGGGAGCGGAAGCTCTCCCATGGCCAGAAATTCTTTCAAAATCATGCAGTTTTTCACCATTCTGAGAATTTTTCGCATGATTTTTAGCCAAAATTGTGAAAAAGCTCCCCCCCCTGGAAAAAAGCTCCCCCCTCTGGTAAAAGCTGGCTACGGGCAAGCAATCAAGCAAAATGAAGCAATTTACCATGATCAGTAGTAGAAGTACGAACAGATTTTGATTCAGACATTTTCTGAGACCCTATCTGTTGCAAGACTAACGCCTGGCGTAACCGTCACCATGTTATTCAGTGTTTTTTAAGTAGCGCAAGGATCCTGCCATGACCGTGGTAATGTTATCGTGAAAGCCTGGTATAACCGCGACAATGCTGTATTATATTGCAATGCCTGGTATGACCGTGACAATGTAATATAGTTCTGCAAGGCTTGGTATGACCGTAACAATGTAATATAGTACTGCAAGGCCTGGCATGACCGTGACAATGTAATATAGTATTGCAAGTTCAGGTATGAGAGTGGTAATATAGAAATTTACGATTTGGACTGCTATAACCGTGACAATGTGTATTGCAAAGCCTGGCATGACAATGGCAATGTAATATAGTATTGCAAGGCTTGGTATGACCGCCATGGCAATGTGATATAGTATTCCAAGTTCGGGTATGAGAGTGGTAATGTAGAAATTTATGATTGCTAATTGACCGTGACAATGTGTATTTGAAAACCTGGCATGACCATGACAATGTATTATGGGATCGCAAAGCCTGGTATGACCGTGACAATGTAATATAGTATTGCAAGGCCAGGTTTGAGGGTGGTAATGTAGAGATTTAGGCTTGTTCTACTATGACCGTTATAATGTATTGCAATGACTAGTTGTTGTTTTTATTGTTTTAAACAATAGTTCACGTACCCCTAAATAACATCTGAAAATATAAAAAGGTTCCATGGTCCACCGTCGATTTTTTCTGTTATTTATTTTCGGAGTTTCGGCTTTTTCTTATACTTTCAAGAATTTCATCGATTATCACCAACAATGATCTCGCTAAACGTGTTATTGGACATGCGAATTATTTTATAATCGCTTAAAATGATACAAATGCAATGCCTTTTATCATCTGAATAGTTTGAATTTCAAGAAAATTCAAATGAGGGTAAATAAATTAAAGCCTTATGTAAGACTAACATTTGTAATGGTTCTTGACGCCATGTTGAATTTCAATCGCCTCTTTATTTCAATAAACTTTGATATTATTTGAAGTAAAAAATCGATGGTGAAACTTTTTTTTATTTTAGATGTTATTAAGAGGCACACAACTCGGTGGCTATACCGTAGGCTAAAACGATTTTCTTATACATCAGTAATATATGGGATACTTATCATTTTGATTTCAAAGGTAATATATGATGAAACCTTATATAAATTGCTCATAAAAATGGCATTTAGCGGAAAAAGAAAAAAAGCAAGTTACATGCTGGTTTGCCATGTCTGTAAAACATTTGCATGCTTGTTATACTGCTGGAATATAGCGAACTAAGTTTGAACGAATACAAGAAAACAAAGCAAACACCCAAATTATGCAATTATTTGGGAAATCAGTGACGTAGTTCATTTGTTTGTTTAATTGTTGATGGGGCAATGTGTCACTGACGTCACAGATGATGGTACCATATTCCAAGAATTCGTGAACAAGAGTGTTATATGACGTCATGATAAAACACTGCTTAGAGTGAGGAGCTCATAGTTGCTATGAGTTACTATGTCGTAAAGTGTCACATACCGTCATTCAGCGTCATTAACATTTAATTATAGAACACTTGTCAAACGTGAAGTTAACAAACAAGCTTTTCCTGGAGATGTTTATTTTCTGTTCTGTAATTGGCTAGTATATCACCATTGTCGTAAGGGTTAGAGATGAGTCCCCTTAATACTATGATCACGGTGTTTAACTACCTTAATCATGTCAAAATCAAAATTACTACTATACAAAATATTCACATTCGCTTATAAGCCACAATAAAGGCTACGGTCGCGCCAGGCTTCCACGATAACACTTCCAGGGTCATGACAGGCCTTGCAATAGAATACAGCATTGTCACGGTTATATCAGCCTGTCACGGTTATACCAGGGTTACACGATAACACTACCACGGTCATGGCAGGATCCTTGCGCTACTTAAAAAACACTGATTAACATGGTGACGGTTGTGGCAGGCGTAAGTCTTGCAATAGATAGCATGTGCATTTTTTCCGTTCGCATATATGACGCTTCACAAGCCCCGGATTAATCACCAAGATCTCATCGATTTGTCTTCGAAAACTTGTAAACGATTCGATTATTTAAAAGGTAAACGACGACTAACAGAACCACAAGTGAGGAATCAAGTCTTCGATATACAATTCTTTCGATATAGTAATGAATAAAGACCAAAATGCTAACGTTTCAAGTGACTGAGCAGTGAAATACAAAGGTAAGCTGAATAATTTTGAAAAAAATGAAAATTTTTTGAAAAACCAAATGCTAAGGCTAGATCTAGCATACATATAGTACTTTATCCCGTACCAGGACTATAGTCCTGCGAACGTCTTATTCTTTTGCCTGTACGATTACAACATGGGAGAATTTTCTACGCTTCTTACACTTAAGGTCAGGGTGCATGATGGGAAATTTTCTGCATTCCTCAATTGAGTCACATGTTATTTTTCAAACAAGAATCACTCCTTCCCTTCATTGTCTATATCTTCCAGTTTTGCACAAAGAGTGCACTTCTGTGCCTAGAAAGGACTTGTGAGAAGAATGTTTTGATAAAGTGTATAAAAAACAAGAAAATTCAGTGAAAAAAATCAGAAAATTTTCAGAAATTTTTTTCACTGAATTTTCTCATTTTCTATACATTTTACAAAACAAACCTTCTCACAAGGCTTTTCTAGGCACAGAAGTGCACTCTTTGTGCAAACTTGGAAGATGTAGACAATGTGGGGAAGGAGTTATTCATGTTTGAAAAATAACATGTGACTCAATTGAGGAATGCAGAAAATTTCCCAACATGCACCCTGTCCTTAAGATACTATTTCAATAGATTCCTTGGTATTTTAGCATTCTTTTCGTACACGTACTACACTCTGTTAAGCATGATAAAAGGCAAGAAGTTTAGTTAGAAATAAAAGAGTTATCTCATGAATGGGACCCTTACATGGCTCCTAAAAGGTAGAAGACACTAAATGGTGTAACACTATAAGCTGAATTTTGTCCACATAGAGTATGTGCACAATACTAAAGACATGTGGTATGACTCCACCATTCTTTTGCCGTTTTACTACATGCCACAATCAACCTCACTGTCAGCATATCAAACCATGCCCATTTTCCATCCAACTTGGCCCAACTACTATCAGGTGGATGTCCTTCAAAAATCAAGTTGGCATGGTTACCAAAGCCTTATAGTTGCCATGGCAACCGCAGAAATGGGGTAAAAAATTAGAGCAAAAAAACACCCAAACCCACCATATTGGCACTAATTTATAAAATATTTCTAGACATACAAATTTTCTTAAACTTTGATATCATCTAGGGCACTTCTAGACAACGAAAATATCAAAAATTGGGGGTAGGTTTACCACTTCGATTTTTTTCTAGGCTTGGTCAAAGTAAAACTACGAAAAATGCACTCATTTTCACTTTTGAATCACCTATTATCGCCCAAATGGCTATATTTTTTCAAGGTCAAGGTCGCCATGTTAAAAGTAGAATTACGGAGATAAATCTGCTCTTCAGACAATGTTTGATAGCTTTTCTTCACCACGGAACAAAGATCTTTGCGCTGGTATGCCCATTTCCATGAGATAATATACGTGAAAGAGGAACTATGTCTTTAAATGTCATCAAAACTTTATGCCAACACGTGAAAAGGCCATTTCGCACTACTTTTGGTGTAATAATTCCATAATGGAGACAAGTTTTCTTATGCAGCACTAGTGTAACTGTTTTTAGGTAATTGAGACATTTCTGATAAAAATGGTATCCAGAAACATGATATTTTGAATAAAACGGGGCCAAAAAACGACCCCTGAAGATGCCTGCATTATTTGAGATTTTGGTGTTTTTCACTGGCCTGAAAAATGGATGGGGTAGGGGAGTGACACACCTTTTGGGCTTATTCAAGTTAGCATTTTAATCAAATGAATGGCCACATGTTTGGTACCATCTTAAAGCTTGTCACGTCCTCTTCAATTTGGTACCCATATCATGAGGTCAGACGCTATATTGTGACGTCACGATGGTACCAAACGATTATAAATTGAAAATTAAGCATCAAAATGCGGCAAAATAATGGTATGACTCCACCATTCTTTTGCCGTTTTACTACATGCCACAATCAACCTCACTGTCAGCATATCAAACCATGCCCATTTTCCATCAAACTTGGCCCAACTACTATCAGGTGGATGTCCTTCAAAAATCAAGTTGGCATGGTTACCAAAGCCTTATAGTTGCCATGGCAACCGCAGAAATGGGGTAAAAAATTAGAGCAAAAAAACACCCAAACCCACCATATTGGCACTAATTTATAAAATATTTCTAGACATACAAATTTTCTTAAACTTTGATATCATCTAGGGCACTTCTAGACAACGAAAATATCAAAAATTGGGGGTAGGTTTACCACTTCGATTTTTTTCTAGGCTTGGTCAAAGTAAAACTACGAAAAATGCACTCATTTTCACTTTTGAATCACCTATTATCGCCCAAATGGCTATATTTTTTCAAGGTCAAGGTCGCCATGTTAAAAGTAGAATTACGGAGATAAATCTGCTCTTCAGACAATGTTTGATGGCTTTTCTTCACCACGGAACAAAGATCTTTGCGCTGGTATGCCCATTTCCATGAGATAATATACGTGAAAGAGGAACTATGTCTTTAAATGTCATCAAAACTTTATGCCAACACGTGAAAAGGCCATTTCGCACTACTTTTGGTGTAATAATTCCATAATGGAGACAAGTTTTCTTATGCAGCACTAGTGTAACTGTTTTTAGGTAATTGAGACATTTCTGATAAAAATGGTATCCAGAAACATGATATTTTGAATAAAACGGGGCCAAAAAACGACCCCTGAAGATGCCTGCATTATTTGAGATTTTGGTGTTTTTCACTGGCCTGAAAAATGGATGGGGTAGGGGAGTGACACACCTTTTGGGCTTATTCAAGTTAGCATTTTAATCAAATGAATGGCCACATGTTTGGTACCATCTTAAAGCTTGTCACGTCCTCTTCAATTTGGTACCCATATCATGAGGTCAGACGCTATATTGTGACGTCACGATGGTACCAAACGATTATAAATTGAAAATTAAGCATCAAAATGCGGCAAAATAATGGTATGACTCCACCATTCTTTTGCCGTTTTACTACATGCCACAATCAACCTCACTGTCAGCATATCAAACCATGCCCATTTTCCATCAAACTTGGCCCAACTACTATCAGGTGGATGTCCTTCAAAAATCAAGTTGGCATGGTTACCAAAGCCTTATAGTTGCCATGGCAACCGCAGAAATGGGGTAAAAAATTAGAGCAAAAAAACACCCAAACCCACCATATTGGCACTAATTTATAAAATATTTCTAGACATACAAATTTTCTTAAACTTTGATATCATCTAGGGCACTTCTAGACAACGAAAATATCAAAAATTGGGGGTAGGTTTACCACTTCGATTTTTTTCTAGGCTTGGTCAAAGTAAAACTACGAAAAATGCACTCATTTTCACTTTTGAATCACCTATTATCGCCCAAATGGCTATATTTTTTCAAGGTCAAGGTCGCCATGTTAAAAGTAGAATTACGGAGATAAATCTGCTCTTCAGACAATGTTTGATGGCTTTTCTTCACCACGGAACAAAGATCTTTGCGCTGGTATGCCCATTTCCATGAGATAATATACGTGAAAGAGGAACTATGTCTTTAAATGTCATCAAAACTTTATGCCAACACGTGAAAAGGCCATTTCGCACTACTTTTGGTGTAATAATTCCATGTAAAATTGAACTGTCAAAATAATAGAAATTACTCACCAGCTCGCCTCTACCGGAAGTTATGATACGTTATGGTGTAACTACGGTAATTAATTTTAATTTGTAATCAATGATCGCCTATTTCATATCAAATAAGTGTAGGATGTAAGGTTTAACATTTTTCATGTTATTTAGTATTTACAGAAGCAGAGCTTGTAAAGAAACCAAGTTTTAAATTCCGATTTTGACTGTTGACAAAAATAAAGAAAAGAGAGAAAGAGGTGACTTGTTAGAAACAATGACATGAAATTGTGAATAAAAAAGATATTATTGTGGGTTTTGTTTTTTGAGAGTTCATCAAATACACTCATGTGTATTAATTTAAATATGTATTGTAATACCTCTCAGTTCTACCATGGAAATTTGAAAGAAGCTCAATTTATTGTGAAGACGAAGTTTATATATATCTGTGTATGGGGGTGCGAATATATAGTCATAGTATGGGCTAATTCGCTTAAAAATGGCGATATATACCTCAGAACTTGTATTTTGTGATTTTTTCAATATTTTAAAATTAATTACCGTAGTTACACCATAACGTATCATAACTTCCGGAAGAGGCGAGCTGGTAAGTATATTTCAGTTCTTTTGACAGTTCAATTTTACATGTCTTTAGTATTGTGCACATGCTCTATGTGGACAAAATTCAGCTTATAGTGTTACACCATTTAGTGTCTTCTACCTTTTAGGAGCTATGTAAGGGTCCCATTCATGAGATAACTCTTTTATTTCTAACTAAACTTCTTGCCTTTTATCATGCTTAACAGAGTATAGTAGTTGAATCCACAATTGTCTGGGTTTATCGGCAGAACAAAAAAAATTTCGTTTTTAATCACAATATTTGCGTTTAATATTTAAGGTGACATTTAAGTTAATCAAAAGTACAAAAACATGGGAGCCATATTTTTTTGATAAAGTCAGAAGATTTTGTATACTGTTTTCCTTGTATGTGAATGCATTTTCTGACTAAAGAGACACATAAAAGAAAACCTCACATTTAAACGCATTTTTCATAACTTTGAATTGGAGGTGTATGGCTCCCAAAAGCTAGCATGAAGAGTGCGAAGTGAGGCTATTTTTTGAAAGATTCAAGGAGTAGCCTTGCAACAGACACACATTTGCAAGAATTCAAAATTTCTAGATATAGTCTTACCTTACCAAGGAACAACGAAGGAGCACGAAAATGTGTACTTCTTGCATTGTTAGAGTATAATAAAGCTCAAACCATTGTGAATTCTAAATATTTCATGTCCACCATTTTGCTTCCTGGAACTATTTTTTAGTCCAGAGTTATCTTCATTCATGTTTCCATTGTTTATCATTCATAAAGCCTCTATCATGTATCTATCATGATAATTACACTGTAATAGATAAAACATACAAGTGATAATCCATGC